TTCCTTTGCGAAAGCGCTCCACACATGTAGCTTGTCCTTTATCGATCGTCCTGCACGTGAATGATCATTGATCAGGTTGAAGAAGCCACGGCGCCGTTGAATAATTCAGCGCTGCAGAGCGCCTCGCCGTGAGCGGCTAATACATCAACATTTATGAATCTGTAATCCCAAGAGCTAAGCGACACATTCAAAATGGTTATGCGGTTTGTGTGTGTGTGTGTGTGTGTGTGTGTGTGTGTGTGCGTTTTCTGTGCTTGGTAAGTCACAGAAGGTCTGGCCTGCCTGAGGGCGGTACTCATGGCTCGGTGTGAAAGATACGGGGGTGGCACTGCCGCTCAGCCCGAGAGGATACACTGTCTGAGGTCTGAGATGGAGGGAGGATGGAGAAGGAGATATATCCACACACACACACAGCTGGAGAGAGAGAAAGAGAGAGGAGAGGGAGATGGGTGCCTTGGAGGGTGGGAAAGATAACGGCAGATAGGGGAAAGCAGCACAGAGGCCGAGAGCGAGCGAGACAGACACAGGAAGAGAAAAGGGAGAGCTACAGAGGAGGCGAGAGGCGGAATTTAATAAATTAGATCAGGCGCCTCGGCGGTTTCCTAGCAACCCAGACGAGACGAGCCTGGTCTGGCCGGGTCTGTGTAAAGGTCTCTCTCCTCCGCCTCCTCTTCCAATCTCTGTCTACCCTTTCCTCCTCCTCCTCCTCCTCCTCTTCCTCCTCCACTCACTCACATCAGCACTGGACACAGCGAGTGTCCTGTTGTTGATAATGACAAGTTTATTTAAAGACGGATTCGTACCGGAGTAAAAAACAGCCAGTACTTCTACATTAGTAAGGCGACAGGACTGTTCATTTACTCTAAAGTCCCTCTGTATTCGTTACGTCTTTTTAGAAATAGGAAGTGAGCATCATTAGGAGCGCTTGGTGTGCTTCCTCATGGTTTTTGAACATTTAGGCTACAAAACCACAATCCATTAAAACACAAAGCGGTATCGTTGTAAATCCTGTCTGTGTCTGTTGCCACAATGTAGAACTTTCCCACCGCTCCTCCGCCCCAAACAACACAGGGAGCACGGAGAGGCCCACATGATACGTGCACGCTCTCCAGGCATGACACCGCAAAACCGCAGTGGAACTGCAGCACCGGCTCCAGCTCTCACACAGCCGGTGCCTCCGTGCCTCCACTTGGACCTTGATTCTCCGATGACGAGGCACCTCCTCCTCTGATTTGACTGAAGGAAGGTTTCGGCTAAACCAATCCTGTGAGTCATTTCAGCGGGATGCTCTCAGTCGGGAGAGTGGACTCACGTTGCCGCCCCCCCACCCGCCGCCATGTTGTGTTTGAGAGAAATGCTAGGATTGCTGCAGTTTGTCCAGTCTGACTGGAAACCGAGGTGTGCGGCTGAAGGTACTGCAGACTTGAAGAAGTGAACTATATTCACACGTGTAGTTTTCAGGGTTAATATTATAACGCTACTGAACCACAGGGAGGAAACTATGAAGGCAAATCACTGTCAAAATCCCAGAGCGCAAATCAGCTCCATTAGATGGCAACCAGCTACAACCCTAATTTACCATCATTACCGGCACTTCGGCCGCATTACGACCAATTTTTGGAAAATCAAAATGATGATATAAATCAATTTATTTAATAAACTTGTGTTTTTGCTGTTTTGTTCTCATAATTGTATATACAATATGTGTGTTATTCCAATTGTTTAGACGTTATGACGATGACAAATGTAGACGTTACGCATAATCAAATACAAAATAAATGGCAGAATAAGCTGCTTTTACCGTTCGTTCATTGCAGACAAACAAAAACCCACGTTGCGCACTCGCGATCTTGTATTCTTCCACATGTACGTCAAAAAGCACCACTCTGGGGTGCCTTTGCACGTAAAGAGGTTATGCAAGTAATCATGTACCTTACGTATCAAACATGGACCAATTGAAATCGAGATATTCCTGGACATCTGCGCAGCTGACGTCACTTCGCCAGCTACGTTGTAAGTGTAAACCCGGCGAAAGTCAAAGTCAAAATGACGGCGGTGTTCGCAGATATCGCGTATCTGTGATCGACGTCTTCACGAGGAAGGATTTTATGTACAAACAATCCACCGATTGGTGAGTCAGAAACTATTTCGGGCATAATATTGAATTGATAAGTGTGATTGAATGAATGCCGACTACAAGCCATTTCCCTTCATATTTAGCAGTGTGTGTTTTTATTGTTTCCGACTGGCGAACATAAGGGCCGCTGTGCAATAATTAAGCAATACGGTCCGAGAGGCCGGACGTTGTCGTCAATAATGTTCCAATCGGTGGTGAAAGCTTTCCCGTCCGTTTGAGGCCTTTTTTTTTGGTGATCGCCACCGAAATCTAACTTACAGTGCATCCGGAAAGTATTCACAGCGCTTCATTTTTTCCACATTTTGTTATGTTACAGCCTTATTCCAAAATGGAATTCATTATTTTCCTCAATATTCTACACACAACAACCCATAATGACAAAGTGAAAACTGTTTTTTTGCAAATCTGTAAAGAACGAAAACATAACATGTACATTAGTATTCACGGCCTTTGCCATGACACTCCAAATTGAGCTCAGGTGCATCCTGTTTCCACTGATCATCCTTGAGATGTTTCTACAACTTGATTGGAGTCCACCTGTGCTAAATTCAGTTGATTGGACATGATTGAGAAAGGCACACACCTGTCTCTATAAGGTATCACAGTTGACAGTGGAAATCAGAGCATAAACCAAGCCATGAAGTCCAAGGAATTATCTGTAGACCTCCGAGACAGAATTGTATCCAGGCACAGATCTGGCGAAGGGTACAGAAAGATTTCTGCAGCATTGAAAGTCCCAATGAGCACAGTGGCCTCCATCATCCGGAAGTGGAAGAAGTTTGGAACCACCAGGACTCTTCCTATAGTTGGTCGCCCAGCCAGACTGAGCGATCGGGGGAGAAGGGCCTCAGGGAGGTGACCAGAAACCCGATGGTCACTCTGACAGAGCTCCAGCGTTGTTCTATGAAGAGAGGAGAACCTTCCAGAAGGACAACCACCTCTGCAGCACTCCACAAGTCAGGCCTGTTTGGTGGCCAGACGGAAGCCACTCCTCAGTAAAAAGCCCATGACAGCCCGCCTGAAGGACTCTCAGACCATGAGAAACAAAATTCTCTGGTCTGATGAAACAAAGATTGAACTCTTTGGCCTGAATGCCAAGCGTCATGTCTGGAGGAAACCAGGCACTGCTCATCACCTGGCCAATACCATCCCTACAGTGAAGCATGGTGGTGGCAGCATCATGCTGTGGGGATGTTTTTCAGCGGGAGGAACTGGGAGACTCGTCAGGATTGAGGGAAAGATGAATGCAGCAATGTACAAAGACTTCCTCGATGAAAACATGCTCCAAAGCGCTCTGGACCTCAGACTGGGGCGACGGTTCATCTTCTAACAGGACAACGACCCGAAGCACACAGCCAAGTTAACAAAGTGGCTTCGGGACTCTGTGAATGTCCTTGAGTGGCCCAGCCAGAGCCCTGACTTGAACCCGATTGAACATCTCTGGACAGATCTGAAAATGGCTGCACCGACGCTCCATATCCAACCTGATGGAACTTGAGCGGTTCTGCAAAGAAGAATGGGAGAAACTGCCCAGAAATAGGTGTGCCACGCTTGTGGAATCACACCCAAGAAGACTTGAGGCTGTAATTGCTGCCAAAGGTGCTTCAACAAAGTATTGAGCAAAGGCTGTGAATACTGCCAAAGTGGAACGCACACCTCATGTTCGCTCCAGACTCATGTCTCTGGAGAGGAGAGGATATTCTGGCAACAGAGAAGAGACCGTGTGACATTTCCACAAATGTACATGAGCGCCCTCTACTGGCCGCGGGGGGAAGTGGAGGGAGTGCACGCGCTCTGCCACTGGCGAGAAGGGGATGAAATCATAGAAAGAGATGAATTCACAAGGATCATGTCTAACGTTTACATTTAGAAATGTCACAGGAGGAAACGTTTGCTTTTTTTAACAATATCATCTGTGCAATTTTATTTTAACAAATTTAAAGCATGTTATTTCAGGCTCTACCTTTCATGTTGTCGATCACTGTTGATGATGTGAAAGATCATGAAATCAACTGTTACTAAAGCAGCATCAGAGGGAGACCAGTGTGACATTACTTTGAAGCTGTAGAAGCTCAGCACACTTTCTACATATAGTCTCGGTCCAGGGGAAGATTTGTATGCGCTTCGTTTAGAGGAGAATATCTCAGCTATTAAATAAAATCGCACCTATAGGTGACACTATTATCACACTACAGGTGAATGGGACTTTTTTATTTTATAGATATCCTTATCAATTTCTACCAGATGAATCCTCATATTAAGAGATATGTTTTGGATTACTTTGTCTCGAAAATAAAATATGCAAATTAGGCAATATCTCAATACGCGTACATATAAACTCTTGAAGCTACAGATTTTCTCAGATGATCACAATGTTCACAATGACCATGATTATACCCCCAACAAGTCATGGCGATCTACACCTCGCCGCTCCTCCGAGGACCGGAGACCGGTCGACCGGGGGAGGAAGGGGGTGTAATAATCGGCCAAACGAGTAGTAGCGCTACCGAACGGCAGCGCGAAACCAGTCGATATGAAGAAAACAACGAGCCTCTCGTCTGCCAGAAGGAGGAAACCGTCACAAGCGTCCTGCACTGACTGACGTCATCCTGGGTTGCTTAGGAATAAAATGAAATGCATCCGTTAGTAAGCAAGGATCGCTAGTTAGCATTAGCATTAGTTTCGGTCATCTCCCGCGGTCAACCGCGCATGCGTGACGTCATTTTTGAAAATTTTCCAGGAATCATATGTATAAAGCGACAGTTGAGTTTAGCAAAAAGAAGCTAACTTTTACTAGCATTTCTCCAAAATGCTAATTTTTTTTCCAGGATGAATCTTTACCTGGGAAAGATTACACATTGAAAATGGTTTAAGATGCTTTTTAACAGTCTTGTAGGTTTCAATACATCCAGCCAGGATCATATTCCTAATTAATGCAGTTGAAATGACATTTTGCAGTAGAATACAAAAAGCCTACAAAAATGCAGAGGACAGCTGCGGTAAAACAGAAGGCTGCCGGCTGCAGGACGAGCTGGACACCTTCTTCCCGTCAGCATCACTCGTATGGAGGAAGCACCCGACACCAGAACTCAGCTTTTCTGAGTGACGTTCATTCTGTTTCAGTTTGATTTAAGATGCGACCAAACATGATATCATTATATCATATTAAAGCGCTAAAATATTGAGTCTCATTGCGTTTCCTCACTATTCATATTCCTGCTATGAGGAAGTGAATCCTGCGTTTCTGGGGAGTTCAGTCTGTCATTGGTCCTCCCCCTTTTTCCTCCGGTTGAGTAGCCGAGGCTCGTCTCCACTTCACACCACTCCGTCACACGCTTGCAAGACTCTGTGGTTGAAGTCCTCGGGCTGGTCAGCGTACACATAGTGTCCGGCTCCACGGATCGTCTGATTAACAGACAAGGAGATATGAATTTTGGATTATTGCAGGAAAAAAGTTCACGGTACTTGATACATGTTTTGATTAGCAAGATAATCTTCACGTACAAACAACACTTTGGGGATTTTTGAGGTGTGAGGGACACCACAGTCGTGTTTCACGCCCCCACCAGGCTTAACGAGTACTCGTGTTCTAATCTCTCATATATTCACGCTTCAGCGGCCGTCTTCTTTAAGCCTGAGGGGCGGAAGTACTGAGTCATTTCTGGGTTGTGGGAATGCAGCTCTCACTGCAGCTTTATAAGCCTCCATGATCACCATTAACACTTCTTATGCAGACTGGAAAGCGTGTTTGAGGGGAAAAACACTCATATAGCAACATTTTTCATTACATGTAGTAGATGTTTTGTACATTTTAGCAATGGCCCTTCTTAATTGTAAACGTAGTAAATCTCGTCCTGCTGAGCGCGGCGTTCCTTGTACCTGGGTGATCGTCGGAGAGATGATCTAAACTCAAGGTTTCCTCGATAGGAATGACACTTGGACACGGATTATCCCTCAGCGTGAAGGAGCTCTATGCTACCTTTAGAGGTTCCTCACTGTTATTTATTCACATGGCCCTTACTGGGTTTATCATATAACAATATCTTATTCCTTGCTTTTCACATTACAGGATTACGCTGCAGGTGCTGGCTGATTTCACTGAGCTTGGCAAATCCATTCTCTCATTGAGCACCTGCTACTTGCAATAACATGCAGAACCATCTAAAGCTCCTTGTTATCCTGAAGGCTATTCAAATTTTCATATCCAGCTGTTCTTGCAGAGTGATCTGTGTTCCATTTTAATGCTTCATTTATTCTCAGGTTTTATAGTTTGTACTTTTTATACATTTCTTTCATATTTGGAGTGAGGCAAGAAAGTTCCACTTGTTTCAGCCGCACATCACGTCTAATAAGCAAAATGATGTTGACGATGGAACGATGACCACAAAGGCCCAGAAAAAAACCCTTTTGGCCAGCGTTCTCCCATGGGTGTCACATTCCAAAAGTAAATAAGAAACACATTTCTCACCGATTTTAGAAGCTATTACTTTGTAGCAATGAGTCACTTTTTGTGGGACTCGTTTGTTTTAAGAAACACAACAAGAAATCTCTCTACTTGTGGTGCTTGAGGCACCACCTAAACCTAATTTTGCAGAAATGATGACCCGGTTACCCAAAATAGGAAAGAACTTGTGACTGAGGAAAAATTGTCCTTTTTAGAATTCCACTAGTCGTTCCCTTGTTATTGGACAAGGGAAGTTCACTCAATGGGTGAACATGAGCTACTCATTAAGGTTAAACCATTGAGTTCAACATATTTTTTAATTCATTGTCTATGGAGCAGTTCTACACTTCTATTTCGGCCCCACTTTGGTTTAATTTGGGAACTGTTCATGAACTGTATTAGCCCAGAGGAATTACAAATGGGAGATGGAGTTTGCTGCAGATGGCTTTGTCTCACTACAAACGTCATTGTTAAGATCAAACACTCAGGTATTTCCCGCAGTTTTGGTTTCCCTGGAAACACCGGAACCAATTTAGCCTCTATGATGTCCGATTCATTCCAAGTGCATTCCCTTCAACAGCAACCACGACCTTGCAGATAAAGTCCGTCAATAGAGTCAAATTATATTTGCTGCAATAGAAAGAAACAGGTCAAAGTGCTCTCTGAACTTACTATGCTCTCCACGGCACAGCGAGGCCTCATCTCTTTGATGGTGCTGCCCAAGTTGCTGTCTATGCTGGACCGGGACCCGTAGATGATGTTGATGGGGATCTCGTGCTGAAGCTGGTCCATCCTCTGCAGCATCGGCCTCGCGGCCCAGCCGTGGTTAACGCTCATATTCTTAAAGGCCGTTTCCCCACTGCAACAAGGAAGAACAAGGACTAACTAACTGCTCCAAGGGGGAGGAACTCGCTGCTTTAACCGCGGTTATTGAGGCCTGCGGCCGTGGCGGCGACAGACCTCGGGGTTTGCACGTTCAGGTGGTAGATGTACTCCGCCACCGTGTTGTCAGCGAACATGGAGGAGAACTTCTTCTTGAAGTCGGGCCTCAGAGTCTGGACGAGGGAGGGCCCTGGGGAGGGGACAGCAGGCACGCCCAGGTGTCAAAACCAAGCATGCGGCCATTATGAAAGCATACAGCCGACATGAGGAGGGTCGGAGGGCACAAAGGGAACAGCGCTTCCACTCGACTCATCGTGGTCTGCTCATCATGGGAACGGTTTTATTAGTAGTTGAACTAGTTTTGGGGATAAAATATATAATATAGTGGCAGACTATTTTGCCCTGTTTTGGCTTTACAGAGCCTCGATCCAATTGTATATATGCATACAATTTCTCTCTGAATGCTACGGATGCTGTACTACTTTTTTCTAAACCCTTCATTCATATTCTTCCATCATACTTATTTACAGTTCATTGGGGCTGCAGACCAATAAGGGTTCCAGTTACTCATTGATTTACCAAGTGGTCCAACCAGTCGGAGGCCGGCCAGCGGGTTGAAGGGACTGAACATGGCCCCGAGGGCTTTGATCCACACTGGGATGGGACGGTTGGCTTCTACTGGGTCCGGGCTCTCAGGAAAACCCCACGGCTCAACCAGCACCATGTGCTTCACTCTGTGGGGCGGAGACAGAGAAACACACCAAAAGTACTTTCAGCGTTTATTGCATGGTCTGTTTTTACATTCATATAGTTTTAGGCAGTCAGGCATGTTAACATTTCTTAACTTGACTGCCTGTCATACAATAGACATAAAGTAGCAGTTATTCATAGTCACACCATCCACGTCACGGGAGCAGGTGACTCTGGTTACATAAAGAAGAGCATGAGAAAGATGGTTAGGAGCGGCAAAAACTACCATTTCTCTTCTCTTACAATGGACCACAAAGAAGCATCTTAGATGCCTTGATCCATACCGAGTCATGCAGACCACATAAACAACCAGCTAGACTTTATTAACAAGGCTGCAATATAACGGTTACTTACATGCTCGGCCCTGATCGTTATTTATCGTTGACGGCCGAATGATACGTCACCATTTACATATTGCCGCCACAAGGAATTGTGGGTACTTATTTACCCAAATACTTAATTACTTAGCTCCTTTAGCATAGGAACCACTGGACCATCCTTTACGAAAGGGAAGGAGATAATTCTGTCCCACAATTCCTTGCAGCAGTAATATTTAAATAGTGATGTTTCATTTGGCATGAAGTAATACTTTGACTTTAGGCCGTAGCACAGTGACTCACAGCCTGTCCCCGGTTTAACGGGAAAAGCCATTCGGAACACTAGATAACGAGAAGCGGACAAGAGGAGGGATTCTTATTAAAGCCTTGCTGATAAAGGAGGACGATAAGAGATTGAGGACACGACATCCGTCGTCCCTAGAGGACAGCCAGAGCGCCCGCTTGGAGCTTATGATGATTCCAGAGAGATACAGTCCAGGGGGAGGAGAGCGGCTCGGAGGACTCGGCTGTTATCGCAGGCCGCCGGAACCTCGAGGAACACAACCACAACTCGATGATGCTCACAGGCCGGCTCCACGGCCAGAGTCGTGTTAACACCAAGAGTCCAGAACCATTATTCAAATTGTGTTCCTCTGCTTCTTTTGTTCTTCAAGTCATCATTAAAGGACAATTCTGACACTCGTTCTCCATCCCCCACCGACAACTAAATTAAGGAATAATAATCAGAATGGTCCCCAGATGAATCCAACAAAACAGCACAGCTCAACTCTGTGTCGAGATTCTGATCATCACCAGAAATATCACACTACCGCAGTTAAATCTAACAACAAAGTTATTTTGCCCGCGGTGTAACTCTTATCACACCAAATACGTCGCATATCAACAAGAACAAGAATAAAAGACGATAGGAAACAAACAATCTGGACCGACCTGGCAGGGTATTTGATAGAGTATGACACAGCCAGGAACCCTCCCAGGTTGTGTCCCAGCAGAATCATGGACTCAAGACCGACTTCGGCCCTCCACTGCTCTATAGACTCCACAAACTGGTCCTCGGCGGCGCCGGGGTCCATGGAGAACGGGGGCCTGCTGCTCTGCCCGAAGCCCAGAAGGTCCACGGCAAAGACGGGCCGCCGCTGGGAGAGCGCGTCCAGGTTCTGGGCCCAGAGGCCCACGCCTCCTCCAAAACCATGGAGCAGGACCATGGGGGTCTTGTCTTTGACGCGGTCGTTGCTGAAGGTCAGAGTCCACAGCAGGTTGCCGTTGGAGATGGGGACATGCCGTTTCGAGAAAGAGCTTTTTATACCTGAAAAGGAATCAAATGGCGGGGAAGGAGAGGGGGTAAGACCTTTCAAGACTTGTTTCAAACAAGGTAAGAGATCTTCTCGGCCCAAATACTCCCCAAAACACCCGTGAACACTGAATGTTGGCGGTCACGCTGCACCACATCGGCTCCGCCCCTTTGGGAGTCAAATAAGGAACCTTGGGTGGGTTCTTGAGGGAAACTCTTGGCCCATATAGCAGATGGGTTCTTGGTAGCACTGATATATTGGGTTCCAGATATAAGCCTCTGAGGTTCTTCTAGGAACCAAAGGCTCACTACGGGCAAGTTATCCCCTTTGTGCAACGTATGACAGGGAATATGGTTTAGATTGTTGTTTATCTTAAATGGGCTTAACAAAGACTATTTTTTGCATTTTGAAAATGGCTACAGAAAATGATTTTCCTCATACATTTATAAATAAATAGTTTACACTAACCAGGTGGATATAATAAAGATTTGTCCAGGCAGTATTATGTCGTCAGAAATGTATATTTACAACAAAACAAACTACTGATGAAGTTTGGCACATGGGAAAGTAAAAGTCAGAGAAGCGGATCCTTACATCGCAGCATCATGTCCTCTGCAGTCTGCAGCTGGATCTGAGAGGTGGGACACCATGGCGGCAGCCGGCTGGGGATCCACCACCACCTACAAAGAGAGACCAAAAAAACCAACTTCAATTATCATGGTCTCTGCAGTCGCTGACCACACGTACACGTAGCAGATCCACACCAAAGCCGAGGTATCATCAAATAAATGCTAAAAAGAGCATCCGTGAGGACTGAATGTTAGCATGTATTGTGTTTAGGAGCGATCTGCTCTGGTCAGCTGTGACAGATCATCCCTGCATCAGCTGCTTGCTGTGTAAAGCCGGGGGTACTTCCCAAAGGTCTCAGGCAGGCTGCGGTGACGCAGTGTGGTTTACGGGACAGAAGATTAGAGAGAGCAGCCTGTGAACGCTGTTCATTACCCATGTCATGGATCAAGCAAGATAAAATGTTCTTTTTGCTGTAACACCAAGGCCAGTACAGTTGTTAGATGAGAGGCTTTTCTAATGGTTTTGTCACCCTCAATAAAAATGTTGGGTTGGATGAAATATTAGAGAACAACCTGTAAGTTTAATGCAATTGAACTTGACAGCACCACAAACCCAAGTCTCCCAAACGAGCAGTTTCAACTACAAGAGGTGACGTTCTTGTTAATTTACCAGCAGATGCTCAGGTTAGAAATGACAAAAATTAAGTTCGCCTTGTTATTCCGATAGTGGGAAAGGCCTTTTTCCCCTGAAGCAGTTGCTGATCACCGGCTGTCCCTACAGGCCGGTTAGGAGGAGGGAGGCCTAGGTAGTCAATAACACGGAATTAATTAAATACCTTATCGCTGTAACCACGGGAAATCCTCGAGCATGTGTTTCGGAGTGCGTCTGTGTGTGTGAGTGTAGTATAGAGAACAAGTTCTGACATTAAAACAAATTCTGATTTGTATTTTTCTTTATTTTTTATAAATTATGTTCAAGGACCAACCTGTACTTTCTGAAGTATTTTTGCAATGTGAATTTGCAGTTCTGTTTTAGAATAAAGTTTTTTTTTTTATCCGATTCATCGATTAATCAAAGAAATAATCGGCCGATTAATCTAAATAATCGTTAGTTGCAGCCCTAAACAGGATCACACTGGTGGCTACTTCTTTATTTGCGTGGGTAAAAAACAACAACAACCACAAATTCCGACTTACTTTAATGTGCTGTCCACGTAGCCCCACGCGCTGCTGACCAGACCGTGGACACCGACAGCAGACAGCATTCTGCCGACAAGCCTGGAGAGAACGAAATGAAACCAAAGGTGTCCGGTGAGGCCGCGGGGCAGCGCGCGGGGGTTATGGGGCATTCAGGGACCACTGTCAAAGTGAGCCATCTCTTCGGTGACATCATTGGCGGCGGATACAAACGTCCGGGCGTTACTTCGGTAACTTCCAGGTCTGAACGCCTGAACGTCAGTGGGGTGACCGACTGTTGACAAAGTGTTCGACTGTGACGTGTACGGCAGCGACGCGCCGTTATGTCACGGTGTGACACGGACACATAAAGAGAGAGTCCATCGGTGCGGCTCGCGGTACACGGGGTGCTTTAGAAGCGCGGACGCGGGTCGTGTCGCAGGAAAACACTCACCCGCTGTTCGCTGCTGTCACCGCTTCCTCGGCCATAGCGTTACTCTGCCGGTCACGTGTCAAGCGCAGGTCCGACTGGGACGTCCCCGCGACGTAATTCAAGACGTTTGCTTTCTACATCGAGGTAGCTCCACGGGGCGGGGCTTTCACACTGCTCAATTCCATGAGGCTTCTGTCTCCGCTCACACCGTAAGACTAAACGAGCGCACCCAATGTCCAAGCGGCAGGCAATGCGGAAGTAGATTTTCTAAACATTTCCTAAACAGTGCTGCTGTCCAGCAGAGGAGAGTCGGCCGGTAAGTTGCGAGATAAATGCAATTAGAATATATTCAACGTAACATATGTTGTTTAGTTTGCACTGAAGCCTTCGGCTCAGTTAAATGTCATGTGAAAAACTGTACTAAGTATTCCTCAATAAAGCGCTTCCCAAATAAACGTTCAATTAAGAAAGAGGCTAAGTCGGCAACACTCAGTAATAGTTCCACAAACACAAGTGAGTTTACACCTGTTTTAATATGTTCCAAAGTAACACAATAAATAATGACACAATATTTAACTATTTAATTGTAGAGAATTATTGCAGGCTGCAATGAGGTGCATTCAGTGAGGTTATAATATAATTATAATGAGTTAACATGGTATCGCACTTTTCAAAGTCAAGGTAAATGTTGATTTGACGTATTACAGCATGAAGAAGTACACGTGTCAATGGACACACGGCTCTATTGCACACGCAGTCTGACTGACCAGTGGCAGCGGTGATCGTTCCTTCCTGCTGTGCTTAACTTGGCTAGGAGGTCAACATGTGTGTGACGGAAAGAAACAAATTGGTTACACAACACAGATTTGTAGCTTTACTTAAATGAGGCTAAACGCGCGTGGTCTCAGGACTAGAGGACCATCGCACTATGAACAGCAAAGTGTTGTGATTCATTTTAACGTCGATTGATCGAAGCTGATGACGTGGAGCTTAAAGTGACTTCGGTCGACTGGGCGCAGCAAGAAGCAGAAAACACAGACACACACACACACACACACACACACACACACACACACACACACACACACAGAGGCGTTTGTTGTTTCTAAATCAAATCTGACTGTCCACAGATCAGCCTCGAGGCTGCAACAGAGCTGCTTTCCTTCAGAGAAACAGCGATCCGGGTGAGTACCGAGGTGTTTATCTCTGCAGCAGTCGGTGTTTCTAAAGACCCCCCCTCACCCCTGCTCCAGCGTCAGCTGTCGGTGTTTCTAAAGACCCCCCCCCCCTCCCCTCACCCTGCTCGAGCGTCAGCTGTCGGTGTTTCTAAAGCCCCCCTCACCCTGCTCGAGCGTCAGCTGTCGGTGTCAGTGAGGCTGTCTTGTCCCGGGTCCTGGGTCAGTCCCTCGGCCTGTGTGTACTTCATGGTGTTACTTGTGCAGCTCTCGGTTCACCTCGTGTGAAATCGGGCTGAGATTTACTCTGCTCACTTCTTTTTTACTTCCTATGTCTCTTTCTGGGGGACATGGCAACAACAACGCCCCCTTGTCCCAAAGGGCTGTGCACTGGGGGGAGATTTATGGAGCTAGTTTGTCCAGTTTTTAATGATCTTAGGCAGCTATTTATATTTTTCTGAATTTAGCTTGTGCAATGTTTTGTATCTTTTGTGTCCGGCTCACGTGTCAGGTGTCCTGGGACAGGGGATGATGCTGTCGGCAGGCAATGGGGTCCCCAGCTTCACTCCTCGGGTGGTGTTGGAGCTGGCCTCAGACACCAAAGAGGAGGCCATCACGTGGTTGCTGAGCCGGATACGGGACACGCAGTACAATGGAGGTAGGCCTGTCACAATATTTGTATTTTTACTTACATTTTCCTCAACAGATTCCAATTTACAGGTGACATTGGCCTTTCTAACCTACACATACATACTAAATAAACTGTACTTGCAAATTAAATAAATACAGATTGAGAAAGAAAATTGTGAGATGTGAACATATAGAATGACCAACAGGGTTTATTATATATATATATATATATATATATATATATATATATATATATACATGGTCTGACAAAAGAAGGGATTGTGACAGGACTCCAATGGAGCTGTTCCACTGTAACCCTGCCGTTTGTTTCCAGGAACGGAGCTGCTGGTGGAGCAGCTGGGCCCCGGGGCCGACGCTCAGGAGAAGGAAAACCCCAACATGTTCCTGGTGGGGGCCACGTGGCAGAGGCTGCTGTCTGGCGCTGAGGACTTGGGCCTCTTCAAGGAGTTTAACGATGGGTCCATGAGGGCCTTCACCTGCGCCAACAAATACAACTTCAAAGACTTTAAAGGTAAAGTCCAGGAGGAGGTCTAAAGCAGGTCTAATTGATATTTTCCAGAACGTGATAGGGGTCTCAGCCAAAGATAATTATCACTTGCAGCTTCCCTCAGAATCAAGACCAACACGCCTCAGGATTCTGCTGGTGTAGCTCTCTGGACCACGTTGTTTCCTCTCTTTCACAGTCACCGCTCCTTACATCGTGTTTTCAGCTTCTGCAGGCAGCTGTTTTCTGAGAATAAGGTGTGCAAGCCGCTGTGGTTTCCCTTCACAGCAGCAAACCACTGACAAACGCATACAGAGACTATCTAGTGAACTTAGAGGAGCTTTAGGCAGCTTTAACTGCTCCACGTGTAAATAAGCAAACGTTCGCTATTTCTCAATAAGTGATGATGTGTCATTATTGTGCTAGTATCTCCCAGTTTATTGTTATTTCATGTTTATTGTGTCATTACACCACAATAAAGAAAAGTTATGTCGAGTGTAAAGTTACAATTGATATAAAGTTTCTTGAAGAACCGTTCTGTGAAGTACCACAAAGTACCATCAGCTACTGACGGATCACAGCTTCATATCACACATTCTGCTACAGAGTTTATCTCACTTTAACAGCCAGTCTGACTGAGTGCTCATGATGGGGTCACAGGGATTCAGAGCTTCTGATTCCACCTCGACTTGACGACTATACTTTCAAGTATGTATGTGTATGTGTTTCAGAGGCATGTTTTCGCAATACATGTTCCTGATTCCTGATTTAACATCTTAATCTTTTGGTTTCAACATCTTCTATATGACAGTTTGGTGATTCTTTCCTTTTAAAACATTATTTGTCCTTTTCATTTTTATGAACACAAAAACTGATGAATTGCAAACAACCAGCAGATGTCACGCTCTGCGCCTCCCGTTTGCTGCTTGTGTGTGATGTGATCCGCCGTGTCTCCCCAGGGGACGGAGACTCCTTCCTCAGCACGGCCGAGTGTCAGTACATCATCAAACACGAGCTGGACACACTGCGCGCCAAAGACGAGACTCACGTCCCCGGACTCAGCCGGGTCAAGCTCTACCCCGGGAAGTCAGTCAGTGAGTGTCCATCCACCTCCCACACGGTCGCTGAAATGCAAACAGGCTGAATGGAAGAGGAGGAGGAGGAACTCCACGTCCCACGACATGAGATTTCATCCTTATCACCCGCCTCTAGTCGGTTTGCCAACTTAGAGGAAGTAAATCGTCCTTGTTAATCTCATTTAAACACCGGGTTCATCAATGAATTCATCAAAAATATCTGTAAATGTTTATAAGTATTCACAACAGGGTTTAAGTATTTTATGTCTATTTCGTTCATTATTGTCTCATAAATGTGATATATTAAGGATTAATGACCAAGCATAGAATTGATCAACGTAATGTAATATCCTTACACAATACCACATTATGGCAGAGACTCATCCTGGGATTTATTATCTATCTTATCTATTTATTACCTTTGAAATTTTGTACATTGTCATTATTGTTATTACGCTAAAGAAAGACTTAGATCTTCTTAATACTCGGACCCCTGGTCTGTGGTTGTACAATTTCTCTAACAAAAGGTCATTTAAAAAGGCACGATGACCCACATATCGCTTATGGTCACCATTAACAAACAATAGTCACTGAATAGTGAATTATACTTATTCACATAAACAGTGTGTTTTTCCTTGATGATTTCTTTGGTTTGCTTCAGATTCAGCTACCGAGCACGTCTCCATCATTCCTCCAGCATGACGTAGACGTCTTATTAGTAGTGAAAATGTCCCAAGAAAAGAACGCAGCACTACTTTGCCTGCACCTCTCGTTGAAGAGCAGAATGAACATGGTCTCTCTCCCCCTCTCTCTCTCTCTCTCTCTCTCTCTGTCTTTGTCTCTCTCCCTCTCCTCGGAAACAATAAATATGCAAATGAAATATCCCACGGCGAGATAAGGAAGCAATGAACTTGCACTGGAGATCTGCTGCCTCCAGTCAGCACCTTTTGGTGTTAAAGCAGAATGTAATCATTCCAGACAAATGATGCATTAGACGATGAAGATGATCGGCACGGGCCGTGCATTGTGCACAATGAGCAGGCTCATGGCTTTTGTTTGCCCGGCGTCGTTTTAGGAAATGAAGTTGCGTGTTTATGTGGTTGGGAAAGTGAGTTCTGACAAGTCAGGGGTGGAAATGCAGCGCAGCTGTTTTCATGTCAGTCAGAAGACAGTGAAACTTCCTCTAAAGAAATCTAACTTTGAGCAAATAAAGATTCACCCAATAACCTACAAACATAATGTTTTTATTCATTATGACCTGCGTTGATTAAGATAATTATGATTCTAGCTACTAAGACTACGATAACTTATTTATTGGAAAATTGCATTAACCGTATTATTATCATAAAAGCAGTTTGCCACCGCTATAACAATAACATCAACACATGGTGATATAAGTTCACCTTTTTTAAAAGAGCACTTCTAATTCTTAAAAATATTCATGTGACATTTAAAAAAATCTCCTAAATAATACAAAAATGGATCAAATAAAAAGATTTTAAAAAAGCAAACATCAGGCGTAGAGAAACGAGGCTGTAGAGATTCAACATCTGCTCTCTGTGTTTTATGAACGAAAGGAAAAGCGCCGGATTGGTGCACACGGATCATTTGACCGCTGTGTTTATTCCACGTGGGGCTCAGTTCTTTGTTTTACCTCAGATAATAATTGCCCATTTTGCCTCCTAGTACGCAGACTGCTGTCCAAGGGGATCCTGATCCAAGTGTTTCCTCTGCACGAAAAGGAGGAACTCAAGAGGCTGTCGTTCGCTTGGTACAAAAAGGTCAAGCTGTCCTTTCAGCCTCTCGGTCAGTGCACCACGGGTTTCGTTCCTCTTCTTATCTCTCTTTGGTTTATTATCCTGTCCTTTTTTTAAAATGATTGTCCCGCTACTTTCTTCTCTTCCCCAGAGGACATCCGGCACTACTACGGCGAGGGTCAGGCGCTCTACTTTGGCTTCCTGGAGTACTTCACCTTTGCCCTGGTGCCCATGGCTCTCATCGGGGTTCCTTACTACCTGTTTGACTGGGAGGACTACGACAAATACGTCATCTTTGCTTCTTTCAACCTGGTCTGGTGCACCGTCATCCTGGAGGTATGGAGGGCTGATTGCGTCTGCTCACACGTCGTGACAAACGATGAATAACAATCCAGTGAAAGATGAGTAACCGAGAGCCTGAACCCCCCCCTCCCCTCCCCGCCACCTCCCCGGCCAGTTATGGAAGCGCTGCAGCTCCTCGCTAGCTTACCGCTGGGGCACGCTGAGCAGGAAGAAAGCCTTCGAGGAACCGCGGCCCGGCTTCCACGGCGTCCTCGGGTTCAACCCCGTGACGGGCCGCCAGGAGCCGCTGTACCCGAACGCCAAGAGGCAGCTGCGCGTCTACCTGGTGTCGCTGCCCTTCGTCCTGCTCTGCCTCTACCTGTCCCTCTACGTCATGATGATCTACTTCCTGATGGAGGGATGGGCGCTGTCGGTCCACGACGCGGAGCCCACCTTCTGGACGGGAATACTGTGTTTCATCCCCAGTGTTCTCTACGCCGTGGTCATAGAGATCATGAACCTCATCTACAGATACGCTGCTGAGTTCCTCACGGAGTGGGGTGAGTTGTCTCAGTGCACAAAAAATGGATTTCACTTGGTATTTTTAGGTCAGAATGATTATTACTATTATATGTAAACTTAGATTCAAATGCTTTTTTTTATATTTGAAGAGTAAAATAAACGAGGATGAAGGAGGATTATATACATATGGTCCTTTTTCTTTTTTAACCCGTGCACCTCCAGATCTCAGTCCATGCTGGTCCATAGAGACTCCTCACAAGGGGCCTCTTTAGAAAGGGATCCAACATGTGAATAGATGGGTTGTGTTTCATACATATTCCACATGTGTGTGAAATGGAAAGAGCTGATGATTGACGCACTGTAACTCATTTGTGTCGCCTCGCTGTGTGTCTGAAGAAAACCACCGGCTGGAGTCTTCATACCAGAACCACCTGGTTCTCAAAGTATTGGTGGTGAGTATGAATCCTGTATGTGACGCATGACGCCATCCGCCTGCGTGCAGCTTCTCTGGTCAACGACTCTTTCCCCCGCAGTTCAACTTCTTCAACTGTTTTGCCTCGCTGTTCTACATCGCCTTCGTCATGCAGGACATGGTGCTGCTCCGACAGGTAGGCCTGCTTTCCTCCCCTCCTTTCCTCCCCTCCTTTCCTCCCCTCCTTTCCTCCCCTCCTTTAATCCCTGATGTATCTTTGTATTATCCATGTTTATGTTTGTCTCATACTTACCGTTTTTCCGTGCTTCATTCTCTTTAAAATGTTTCCTTCTTCCCTCGTTTATTTTCTTTTGGCTTCTCACCTTCATTTCATCCGCCCTTTGTGCCCCCCCCCCCTTCCCCCGTGCCCCCACCTATTCCATCCACCTTCCCTTCCATCGTCTGCCCCACCTCCTCCTCCCCGCCCGGTTTCACGCGTCTGTTCCCAGAGTCTGGCCACGTTGCTGATCACCAGTCAGATCTTGAACCAGCTCATGGAGGCCTTCCTGCCCTACTGGCTCCAGAGGAGACGCAACAAGAAGATGGTCCGCAAAATCCACAAGGGGAAAACCCTGGAGGACCAAGAGCTTCCTCTGGCCAATCAGGTCCGGCTGGAGGCCGACATGAGCACCTACTTGGTAGGTGCACGCGGACCACGAAAGCCTTCACAGGGTCGGGCCCCTCACAGTGTGGCAGTTTGGTGGATAGGTCATGCTGGGTCATGCTGACGTCTGCCCCCCCTCAGGGAACCTTTGACGACTACCTGGAGCTCTTCCTGCTGTTTGGCTACGTCAGCCTGTTCTCCTGCGTCTACCCGCTGGCCGCCGTCCTGGTGGTGTTGAACAACATCACGGAGGTTTACTCCGACGCCTTCAAGATGTGCCGCGTGTTCAAACGGCCCTTCTCGGACCCGGCAGCCAACATAGGAGTCTGGCAGGTGAGACGCACCAGCCGCGTCTGATCTGATTCGGTTTATCTGATTTTTCTCGACACAGAAGAGGCCAGTTGATATTATTTTTGAGGAAATGAAAAGCTAAACACATAACCTGCCGTTCTTTATTTAAAGCGCCGTCCATGAGAATATTACACTTCCCTCCAGGGGAGAAAATATTGTTGGTAATCCGGCCGGTGCCAAGTTGATTAAGAGCAAGATATCATGTATCCGCACTGCGGCCCAGAAAAAGCTTCTATTTCTGGAAGTAAGCCGCGGCCGTGTCTGTGTCTGCGTCCAGCTCGCCTTCGAGGCCATGAGCGTCATCGCCGTCGTCACCAACTGCTCGCTGATAGGCATGTCTCCCCAAGTCAAGGCCTACTTCCCCGACTCAGACATGCAGCTCATACTGTGGACGGTGGCTATTGAGGTAAATTCACACACACACACACACACACACACACACACACACACACACACCTCTTTTAGTGCGTCAGACCATACAGAACCTGATTGTTTTGGTGTGACTCGTTATCAAACGATGCTCAGCTCACCTCGTGACAAAAGCAAAGGCTTTAGTGTAGTTGGGGCGGGGACAGTTTTTCAAAACAAGGTTCCCAGTTGTCTTCGTTTTAATTAGATTAACATGGGTTACATGAGGAACGATCTATGCCTCACCTCCACAATTCTAATGGGTGGACTTTTGATCCCTAATGGGGAAATTATTATGCAGCTTATCTAGGCCACACAACAGCAAATAACCATATCGACACTGGAAGAGGCCATAGATCTATATATATATATATATATATATATATATATATATATCTCCCTCTCTCTGTTGAATACTTGATGAACAGAATATATTTGAATAAAGAATTAAAACTAAAATGTAAACGTATGGCATTAATGTGATCATGTTGAGGGCTGGGGGGGGCAGTGAGGGTGGGGTGTGGCGGAGACGGAGAGGAAGGACTTCCTGTGTCAGTCCTCATGACAGCGACGTTCAATCAGTGCGTTGCAAAGAGAAATGAAAGCTCCAAAGGACAAACATGACTGACCGGGAAGTTGATGTATGTCCATAGCTACACACAGACATTGTTAACCAGGGGTTCTGCTCCTCGCGTAACTACACAACAACTTTCCCAAATAAATAGGGGAGGAGGAAAATGATTGTCTCGATATTGAAAGGCTCTGACCGTTTATTTTTATTTGATGCTTTTTTAATCCAATTGTTGAATGAATATCTATGCATATGTATGTATATATATATATATATATATATATATATATATATATATATAACCCTAACCTAACCCTAACCCTAGTTTGTAAATTACCCAGTTATTCTTTTTATTTTAATCTAACCATTTGGCAGTACCTCTGTGACCCACTAGATGGCTTTGATGCACACAAGTGAGAATAAATAACAAAAAAGGAAACCTTAAGACATAATTGTTTGTAACTTAAAATTGAATTTACATCATCATGTGAGTTAAGAAAGTGCCACAGTGATGTAGCTTCTGTTACACTCAACATGTAAACATCTCTTCTGTCCTGATAGAGTCATTATGACAATCCGTGTCAGTTATCTGTTTAAAAATGACATGAAGCAGTATGCAGTTATGTTGAGCAGGGAATGCAGCAACAACATGCATGCATGTGTATGGTGACGCTTTTATCCACAGCGACCACAGTGATCTAGTCGAGTGTTTTTACCTTTGAGCGGCGTGAGGTCCTAAACGCATGTAACCACATGTGTGTGGAAGGGAAACAGGGAGGCGCAGCCGGGCTCTGTAGCCCGTAGATATCTTCATCAGGGTGGACTGCTCCTCACTAGATGGAGCCAAAGTCCACACTGGGTTCATAAAGATTGAGGGAGTGAGAGAGACATAGAGGGAGGGGGAGAGATGTCATATGCATTAAAAGTGTGCGTGTTGCTCTCATCAGCATTGTTTCCTTCCCCCTTTCACTGCTCTCTATTCAAACAGCACACACACACACACACACACACACACACACACTTTGACTCCGGAGTCATAGAGCGCTCCATGAAACTGGGTCACATCGATTGTCTGCACGTTGGATCTACTGTGCGGCCGACGATAAACAGACTTGTTATTGTTTCGGTGTTGGCGGCTGACAGGCCTGTGCCCCCCTGCAGGGTGTCTGAGGCCGGCTTCTGCCACCGTCAGCTAATGACCAAATTACAAATTCTGCTCAGAGACCCACAAAGCGAGACAACTCTGTGTTTAAAACACATGCATACAAAAGTTTTACTTTCTGTTTTACTGTCCTGTCTACGAACACATTTTGAGAAATGATGTTGATGTCTCGCTTTAGACCAGAAGTACTGCAGGGGGGTGAAATTTTCGGTTGATAAGACAATTTTCCTTTTTTTCCTTTTTAAAATTTGGTTCACTCACAGCACCTTTAATGCAAACACGACAACACAGGCACCAGCCAATTAGATCGCGTTCATGCTCACGTCTCACGCCTATTCTGCCCCCGTAGAATAGGGGGTCCCTGCTCCGTCTCACCATCAGTTTGGAGGTCCTTGCCCTAAAAAACGTAGTCTAAAGTCCGCTTTAGACTAAATACTAACGACTACCAGGCCTTTTGCTTTTGATAAATTCTTTCACGGTCTAAGTCAATACTCCATCCTTTCTTATATATAGGTATGAATTAAAATAACACCACAGCTGTGGAAACCGCGTGCATGTGACTGTGAATGTGTTCATGTCTGACTAGCAGCAGAGCTCAGAATGGCTCGTCCCCCCAACACTTCAGTGGACTGGCTGCTGGCATTAACAGAGGATGCATCCACTCGCACACAAGACAGGTGGTACATGTAAAAGGCTGGTTTGCCGAGTAATTTACCAAGCAATGTTTTTTATCATAACCTTTAATGTTTGCCTCAGGACCAACATAAAGGCTAACTTGGTTATTTTCAGCCTCTTCAACCCCCTTATGTTTCTGTGTCAAAGTGACTAACTAGGGTGACATTTTTTGTAATTGGTTGGCTCTTGGAGGAGAACTGTGCAGACTGCAGCTGCTAAGCAGGCTGTAGTGTTGTCGCCCAGGGTAACGCTGAATGCACGTCCACTTCAACCAGTCCGTGTGTCATGTGCCCTGAAATGTCACGTCGTGTCAATGAAGACATTACAGATAACACTTATGTATTCCAACACATCCTCTCTCCATCCCTCACTCACCTTCACACCGATGTCTCTTGGCAAAAATGATTACTTACTCTTTTGGATTATTTCCATAAAGTTGTCAGACCATTATAGTGAGTTGGCGTCCATTGAACCTCAGTAGTTATTACATCACAGCTGCCATTCAGCGTCTTCCCTCATTACCGAACCAACTTCATGATGTTCCCATAAGCCACCTGGACCCCAAAAGCATGTGAGCATTGGTTTACGGGTGAAGTTGCCTTCACCCGTAAACCAATGCTCCTTCAACACTTGTAATGTTTGCGGTGCTGTAGGACCTGAGCAGAGGAGATTGGTAGGCAGAAAGTGAGCCTTCCTGTGCTCGCATTCAACCCCCCCTCCCCCCCCACACCATCCACCGTACATGACTCTTTGTATCAGTAGGTCTGCACGCCGACATCCCGGGCTTTGTTCCCCGTTTGACTGACGGGGAGGAGGCCAGGAAAGAAATGAGATATGAGGATCAGAGAGGCAGAAGGAACAGCAGCACATGTGTGATTCTGATGAACTCGACTCACAGACTCTTTGTGCATCCAAGCACGTCCCTTCCTGTCACCATCCAGCGCCTTTCCTAGAATAAAGCAAGCAGGCTATTAAAGAGATGGCACGACAAGAATAACGATAGCTAGGTTGCTGGGTGTGTGTGCGCTGTGAGTCTATGTTGTCCATCTAACGCCTTTCACTGGTCAGGTCGTTATCATCTTTGAACTTCGCTGTCTCTCTAAAGAAGGGTTCGAAATCAAATCAGCCAGCCCCTCTTATCTTGGTTTCAGGGTGGAGGGTGGAGGGGCGCCTCTTCGCTTTCCAGCAGCGGCGCCATGATACCTGAGTAATTACTATACGGGGCTTACACACATCAGCGAGCAGTCACCAGGCAACCGGCCAGCCGGCTACGGAAACAGACTTTCCCTCAGCGTCTCTGATCCGTCCGCTCACAAACAGTGACGGCTCTGAGGGGGCCGAGTGGGGGCCAGGGATCCACGAACATTGAGCCTCCCCCCCGCCGGATGGTGCTTCTCAACCTGCATTTATCTCTAGCGTTTGCATTTTGGGGAAAATCGATTGCATCAGAATATGCTGTTTACCCATTGCAGCCTAATAATGGCTGACTGGTTGTTACGGCCATTGTGTTGTTGTGTTTTTGGCCACCTGATGAATGCAGGTCTGTTATTAACTCTCCTTTTTAGCTCTTTTTTGGTCTCTACCAACCCATGAGGACAATGCTGCTCCACTACCTCACTGTGCGTGTTAGCGGGAGGTTGGTGAGTGATACAAATGGTCTTTGCTGTAAATAATGACTGGCACTACTGACCATGAACTCGAAGAGGCTAAAACCCTGTAAAGACCGTGTTCTTTTCCAGTAGCTCCTCTGTAGGACTTTGTTGATTACAGGTTCAGCAGGTGGGTTGTACTTGCTTTAATAACAGTCAAGTCATAAGTCTGTTTAAGTCCAGACTGGTGTCCCACAGCTTCATTTCAACAGAAAGGAACATGTAGTGTTTGGCAGCTGGGCGCCGCTTCCATGTGGGTTTGTCTGTTTCTCCACGGTTGTTTTCGGCAGCCCACCAGACAGTAATCTGCTTAGTCTGTGTGTTTATAATCACATTGCAAAGGCATTAAAGCAGGACTCACCAACCCACCAGTGATCTGTCCTAGCACAGCATCCTACTGACAGTCAGCTTAATCCTCCAACCTGTCCCTATCTAATTGGATGCCCTTTATTTGTAGAAAAAACATGCATGTATGTGAAGGCTGGATTAACAATGTTATGAGATTGGCAGCACTCAGAGAAACCTTTTTTTAATAAAGTGGATAATTTCTTTTAAATGACATTTCACTTGCACTTTCAAACAATGATTCAAATAACTGCCATTTAAGCTGCACCACCAATGCTTTTGTGGTCAAATAGCTACAAAGGGGGTCCTCATAGTGAAGGAAGCTCTACACAGTTTGGGCTGGAGGTGTATGGAGTGTTTTAGCGCCTTTAGCGTTATTGCTTAGCTCTGTACATCTAATGCAGTCTCTAACCCTTTCACAGTAAAGTAATCATGGTGTAAGATGGTTCCTAAAACCCTCACGTTGTCTGAGATGTCTCATCAAAAGTTATAAACTACAATATAATACTACAGACTTTCCAGGGTAGAATTTGGTCTGCGGCTCAATAAACACCAGAAATGGCGAAGCGAAATAACAAATGGACAGATTGTGCACGTCACAACAGTTCAAGTCTTTTGGCCTGGATCTCCTCAACCACTTCGTTAAGATGAGAAGATTGATGGCATGAAGAACGGTTTCCTCCTGGACGGCCTCTTCAAACACACGTGGCCATGTTTCAGTACTCTGATCTGTTCCATCAGCAGCGTTGTATCCAGGCAACCCAGTCGCTCGAATACATTTTGGCCTCGTAGACGTCTGGTGCGTTGAATGTCAACCTTTCTAAATCAAAAATATGGTTATCACCCTGCTGTCACACTTGTAAAAATGGACAGTGCAACGTGGTCAACGTCGAACAGTACCAACGCAACTGGGGTACAAAATAATACCAACCGCCCTGAGCGGAGTTTCTCTCGTAACATTACGGATCAGGCGCAAAGTCAACGTTCTGTTTTGCATGAACCTCCCAGAACTCCATTCTAAACAGTAATTCACTCCAAACGAGTAGAAGCTGACTGGGTAGACACGATGCCCCATGCCCTCAAAGACACGCGTGCTCTGTAATGGTTAAAGACACAGATGATATAACGAACACAAGTCCCCTGCTGGGGATTCGCACACGTCGGGGAGCTAGAGGGGGAAGAAGTATTTATAACAATGGAAGCCCCTCTCAATGGCATTTGAAGTTCTATTCTAGTTATTTCTTGAAAAGAACAGCATTTCAAAGGTCATGTCCTGCCCCGTCTGAGCCGGCGTCCTCTCGGTCTCAGCTTCACCTTGCGCTGCTGAATCACTCCGAAATGTAAATTAGCCTTGAATAGCTTTAGCAATCAAGTGAGAGCTGGCGTTTTTATTGTGCACTTTCAATCAATGTGACAAGTCAACCGGGTCGGGGGTTTCTTTCCCCCGTTCCGTTGTTAATTAGCGTAACTGCTGTGCTCACTGGAATGACCAAGTTCCAAGCTTTTTTTTTTTGCCAGAAATGGAGAAAAAAAGTCTACACAGCAAAAGGCTCCTGACAGAACTTTACTCATTAAAAGCTCTTCGGGCAAACACATTTAGGTATCGTTGTTGTTTGACTAATTTTACGAAATATAATAATATATATAATATAATAATCGACCCCTCAGAGCCGTCATTGTACTGTTTCATCAAATTAAAAAGTCCACAATGAAACGGTTTCCAAAATGTAGGTCAACAACGTCGGTTAAAGCCCGCATGGGGGAGCATTGGAGAGTTGACGTACAGCACGTCTCCACCAGCTCATAACGTCTTCGTCTGGCCCACATCACTTAGTTTTACAAGCCAGGAACCCATTTCTGTGAAGCAGTCTGCCCCCCGCTGCTCTCCTGCAGCATGCACCATTACTGTGATGAGGAAAAGGCACTGAATCAAAGGAGCTGATGGCAGTCGACAGTCCTCCTGTGCGTGTGTGTGTGTGTGTGTGTGTGTGTGTGTGTGTGTGTGTGTGTGTGTGTGTGTGTGTGTGTGTGTGTGTGTGGGGCAGTTAAGAGCTGTTTGCTCAGCATTAATGGAAGTAAATGTGAACTGTCATAAGAAAACACACCACCTGCTGATTCAGGTGTGTGCAGGTCACCAGGTCACGGAGACGTGCTGAGGGAAGAACCTTCATCCTCTCACAATCTGCTCTCTGATCGCTCACATGAGCACATGGACTCGTATAGCACGTGTGCTTTACAAAGACTGTTGAAACACTCGCTTAGAGAAGAATATAAATTATGGTTTATTTAGATATTTTGGTTCAAAGAACCAATTTGTTGTTTGAATCAAATGCATTATTTTTTCAGGTGACTAATAGTCAAAGGTCAAGGTCACTGAGATCTGACCTGCATTCCATCGTCATGAATGTGATTTCCCATCAAATGACGTGAGGGAATTTCAACAAATACGTTAGTTGGAGATCAAGATTACGTCGTTTAACTCTACGGATGTAGACTGTTGGTAAAAGCTTGCTTCCCGCGCTCAGCGCCGCCCGGGGTGATTGTGATTGGTTCAAGGGAGCACAAATAAGCGCTTTGTACCCCTACCACACTGTAACCGGATGACGGGGGGGTCGGGTCAGCCCTTCATTTAATGCTGGCGCAGCGTTGTCAAGTCTTCAAGGTGTAGCTGTGCGAGACGAAGGTCTCCGGCTTCACAAAATGTGTTTTGTGCCATAACACACTGACCTGTTCACACAAATGTCTACAGGGATAAAAGCGAGAGGTGCTGACATTTTGGACAGACAGCAATGTAAACTCTGACTTGAATGTGTGGCAGTTCTGGTTTTATTTTTCATAATTATTTCTAGGTTTATCTACTAGATATGAAGGGCACAGTGAACATTTCCAAGCTTCCCAAGTCCAGTCCAGTTCGGCAAGATAATCTACACGTGTCTCACTTGTCGATGTCCTGAATGCAAAATGTCTCCCAACCAATCAAGACGCACATTGGCATCAATGGCGACGCCCTCCTGCTCTGCTGCTTTCCTCTCCGATTATTTAACACAACATCCCATGAAAACGCAACCAACTTCTATCGATCTCTCTTTCAAAGTCCGCTCTCCTTTCTCCATTTAGTTTTCAAAGGATTCTAATGCACCTTTTACTCCGTGTTTCAGCATGGGCTGCTGGCCTTCAAGTTCATCCTGACCTTCCTCATCCCTGATGTCCCCAAACACATCCAGATCAATCTCTCCCGTCTGGAGTTTGAATCCCGGGAGGCCCTCAAGAAAAAGGTAAAGTCCGACAACACCGTCGCTTCAACGCAAAGCCGCTCGACACCAACAGCGACGACTGGAAAGAGGAGAATGCCGCAGTGTTGGACAATTATAAGCTTCTAGTGTTTCAAATAACCTTCCATATATTTTAATGACCACAAGCAGTGGGCCTTTTTACCTCACAACCAATAAGTGCACTAACGTGTAACTAAAGCAGTATTCTCAAGCAGGCAACATAATACAACAAGTGTGTATCATTAATAGTGAAAGGTCAGAATGTCTATTTATAAACAGCGTTTGCTATCAAAAGGTAGGCAAGTATCTCAGCATAAGGATCTGTTATCTACATAACCAAAGAAGGGGAATCATCCTCATTAATACGTTGCCCTGACGCGTGTCAATCATGAACACATTTCTAGATGTTGCCTAGAAAGGAGTAGCACCCCCAGAAAGAGGAGCCTCCTCAGGACAGCGTCTGATCCCAAAGAGGAAGGCAGTGAGCAGCCCCGCTGGTTATTATTAAGTGTGTATCATCAGCACTGGTATCCACTTTAAATGCTGAATGACCAAAATACTGGGTCTTCACATCTAAGTCGAGGAGGCTTCCTTGGTAGGACGATGGAAAACACTTGACTGGACTCACGGCATCAACAGTCTGTGAACTTCAGTAGAAAACACAACCCTCCCAGTTTGGATTCCTGGGGTACATATTCCCAGTTTCCCCTCTCATGGAACAAAGCAAGGATACGGGTCAGGTAGTCGGCATACTTCTTTACTCCGTAGCATTAGACACTGAAGACCTTTTACTACCGAGCTCGTGTGACCAGGAAAGACTATGTGTCAGCTTTGTGTTAGAAACACGGCTAAAATCCGCAAATAATGGGAGTTGGCGTAATAGTCAGTTGAGAGTGATGAGCTATTAGGTGTCTAAGAACCAGAGTAATGAGATATAATGTTTGTATCGTCCCTTTATAGGGATGAATACATGTAAATGCAGCTCCCACTGTTCTTGAGCAGTTCTACACTTAATAATTAGGATCACATCTTGGATCCCGTTTCTTCTACGCCGATGGTTCTAGATGGTTCCAAGTGTGGCAAGTTAAGAGATGAATTTGACCGATAACATTCAATTTACTCAAACATGCACAGGGAGACACTCTGTGATAAGCCCTTAGTCGTGGAGCAGCATCCATGTCCGTTGCAACATGCTCGGCCATAGCTTCCCATTCAGCTCACGATGCCTGTCCCAGAGCACTCTGCAGAAGACAAATGACGTGCCCCATGCTAATAGTATTGACGCAGCTCCGCGGCGGAGCATTAGCTCGCTCGCCACTGCAGCCATTTGTTTGATGTGGGCTGACGGAGGCTGAGTGCTTCTGATGATCTGTGGGCCTCGTTGTTCATCATTTCTCTCTGTGGTTTATTGGTGTGTGTCAGACTCCTGCTGCTGCTGCTACGTCCATATTTAAACATGTTGGACTCTCTACACAGAGTTTTCCTGTCCCCAATTGTCTTCTAGGTCCTTCTAGTACAGATCACAGACACATGTTAGACCACTGAATGGTTACGTTTGACATTGTGACATCATTCTGGTGGATAAAACTGCGGCTCGGGACACAACCGGCCATGCTCGCCATGCTCGCCATGCTTGGTTCTGAACAGCGTTGCTCTGTGGTCTCTTGGTTCTGCAGAGAGCGCTCCGTGGAGGGTGAGTAATTACCTCTTTGTAGAGTGTGGATCCTCGTCTAATATCCTAACTCCAACGGTGTTTGTGAATCTGTGAGATAACATGACTCGGTTTGGATATTCAGCAAACCCCTCCCACCTCCACGACATAACCAGGATTTAAACCAGCAGATCTAACTGGCTTCCTTAGGTCGAACCTTTTTAGAGGTTATCCTCACTAAAGGAAGTTAGCACCTCATAGAACTGCGGGTATTATTTTAGGGGCTGCTACTTCAGCTACAAACCAAGCATCTCCTCTGCGTCCAGGCCACTAACAGGACGTAGGGATGCCTTCACCTCTTACCTCAAGTATGGTATCGTATTAAGTTGTGCTCAAAAGCCTTAGAATGTCTGGTAAGTCATGCATACAACTGGTAGTGGTGCCGTATTCACGTAGCAGCTTGCATGTTTGGCATTTAATTTGCCTGGTTGCATGCTATAGCAGTATCATTTCATGCAAAATGTTCTTTGTCATCGCTAAGTTACTCCACGCAATCTATTTAAGTGGATCTCCTCTTATAACGGTAAAAGGCCATTGCACGCCAGTCTCTTTAACTCTAATTATTTTTGGTTTTACATGTTTTCCCTTTAGCAGGTGGTTCATTGAAGCGTGCTCAATCTTCAGGTCTAACGGGACCGTTACAGTTGACTCGTCAAGCTGACAACATTTCTGATTTAACGGTCAAGGCGACACCATTTCTTATTCGCAGCCTATTATGACCAGTAAAGCTGACTTGAGTCACTCCTGAAAGGAGGCCTCTTACACCTCCATCCATAAACACAGGTCGCTGCTGCACTGGGGTTTGGCATTTTAACCTCCCCATAGTCACAGGTTGATTGCTGGCAATTTATTTTAATGCATTCAGTCAAGCTGACACAATTTTTATTTCATGGTCTAATGTGACCAGTCAAGCTGACAAAAGTTCTTATTTCTGGTTCTGACAGGGTTGCCCCCCCGCAACTTTGTCTGTTCTGCGGTCTAACTTGACCCTGACTGTTCTTTGCTGCGGTCTAACATGACCACGTCTAGTCTGCGGGCCTATATGGCCGGAACCTCTCCTTGCGGTCTATCTCGACCCGGTCCTGCGGTCTATCGAGACTTGCACTTTGTGTTGAATTCCCACCATGCTTACTGTGGTTCGGCTGGACCCTCGCCATCATGGCCTGCGGTCTCTCTGGACCCCGTATCCTTGTCTGGGGTTGATTGAGACGCTACTCTTTCCTTTGCTCGTTAAACTTGACCTCCATCGTAACTCTGGTCGACCTCTGACACTGGCATTCCTGCCCCTGGTTGATCCTAAGGCCGGATGGGGTCTAACCTCCAAAGACTGTTCATACTCATGCCTGTTAAATCAATTATTGGTAAATTTAAGAAGTCTCTATTAATCTAATCAATTTAATTGATGAAACCACCAAAAACCTGCCAATCACATTGTAGCCCCGCCCTGAAGCATAGTCTGCTTTATCGTCAATTTAACTCTAAATGGACCATCATTCACTAAATGATCATCAGGCTGTATTGAAGAAGACTTGAAACTAGAGATTGAGACCATAAACTCGTGTTTACAATGTTTACTGAGGGAATAAATTAGGAGTATATCTGACTTCTACACAACAAGACTTATTTTTGCAATTGGATGTTTTATTTCCTATTATAATTCTTACTCTGGAGGAATTCAGAATTTAAATTTAAATTTAAATTGGGACAGAAATGACATAAAATAATATTCTGTTCACCATGTCACTGTTCTTTTAGCTCAGTTAAACTAGTTGGGCTTTTTTGAGGATTCAGTACATCAACATCTTGAGATGAGTAGTTGCTGACAGCTCCTACTGCAGGCGATGATATTGATGGCTGTGCACACACAGCAGTCCCCAGAGGATATGCAGGATGAAGTGGTGAGGGAGATTCCCACACGAGACACTCGATCAGTTGGACAAGTGGCTTTCTTGGCTGCACTTCTGCGACTACAAGTCACCTTCCTGCGCGGCGCCATCTGAGCCGATCAGTCACAGCAGAAAGAACACTTCGTGCCTTAAGCCTGACTTGATCCGGCCCAGGAGCTGCTGCAGAGAACTTTCCATTTGGTGTCATCCCAGTGCGTGGCCCCAGCAAACATCGCTCACATGCCTACAGGGCCAAACATTATCACACCGATAGGAATCCATCGCCCTCTGTGGCCCGAGATGTGCTACATCAGAGGCCTTCAACAGGGGGTCCGCAAAGTTTTTGGTTGATAAGACAATTTTTTCCATCAGTTTGTGGTCCTTGGCATGAAAAACATTGAAGACCCCTGAGCTACATTACAGTGCAGCAACATTCAGGGTTTAGATATCCAGTAAGATCGGTTATTATATCCTGTTCATAGAGAGATATGTGATTGAAAGGCCTCCACGGCCCCCTTTTGGCGTTCGCCCCCCATGAAGCATCAGCTCCGAGGGCAAACTGCCACCTCAGCACACAGCGCTCCGTGGAACCGAAAACCGCTGCTTTGCATCGTGCAGGAGCATGAAGGAATAAATCGATTCAAAAGTAACGCTGCGGGGAAAAGGAGCGCCTCCAAAGCCGCCGGCCGCGTTATTAGAGAGCCAATGGGAAGCAGGCCGACTCTTTTGGTTTTGGCTGAAGCTGTGTGCTGTCAGCGTCCTCCGCACAGAACCCAACGTTTCCTGCATGAATATCTGTATCAATAGATCCCCTGTAGGCACCACAGGCCACATTACGCCGGTTCATCCCTAATTCATCCCTTCTGAATTAATGACCCCGGCATGTTTCTGCGGCGAAACCAATTCACATCAACCTGTCGCTGTGTTTCAGAAAATCCTGGAAGCCTCGGAGGTCACCAAGGCCGCCCAGTGAGGAAGAGGAGGAGGAAGGGGGGGGGAGGGCCGACGCACGCTGATGGGCCGCCTTCACACAGCTGCACGGGGTTTACGCACTCACATGTATGTATTATGTATGAATGGTGGGGGGGAGTATTTACACAGGGTCCTGCTGCTTTATTTGCAATATTTCCACAGCACGGCGACTGATTGGGGGGCAAATGGTTTAAGTCACATTAACTCTGGACCTACAGAGATGTATTGAGATGAGGACAAACGGTGGGATAAGCAGGTTTAAATCACAGATGAATGCTGTATCATGACTCATGCAGCGAGTATTGAGTCTATATCTATTTTCTTTGTGTTATATGTGTTCTGTTGAGGTTGTTGTGTTGGTGTTGAGTTGAATCACTACGGACGTTTGAGATTATGCAAATGTTTGTTTGTCAAATGTTTGTTTGTCCGCCTACATTTAGGATTACTAATGAGTGAACCAGGCTGCACAGCAGCAAACCAAAGCCTTCATTTAACGGCCCTCTGGCTGAAATGTTTGTTACTGTCAACATGTGACCGTCTTTAGTTGCGCACTCCAGGTAAAGCAGAAAAAAGTTTGAATCTTCTACTCAAACACCTTATTGCTAAATGTAACACCAGCTGAATACATCTGTGGTGCTGAAATGTTGAATACAATATTTTACTTTGAAAAGCATTTCACTCATGTGGTCAGAATTCGGCCCTGTGACCTTTTCATTGGGTCATTTTTGGAACACTTAGTTACCAAAATCAGAATCAGCAATTTAAGCTTGAATGGCTACAAAGAAGCAGTGAAATACCTTCAGTGGATATTTAAATGTAGGTTTTTTGCTAGCTCCCAACATCGAGCCAGACGGGTTTCATAAGAAGAATATGCGCGCGCTTTCTTTTCATGGTTTCCACACAAGAAGAAATAATGATGTATAGGTTTCTTTGATTTCAGCGCGCCCGGTGGAGCCCCGTGGTTTTTTTGGTATGCGAGGCATAGTTTTGCTAAACTTGCGATCTTTCTAACTGTCGCTGAGATTGCGGTCTAAAAAGAGCTGGGTTTTGTCGTATTACCTCATTCCACTGTTGGGGGGGGGGATGTGGGAAATAAAGAATAAACTGTATAAGGGAGGTTAAGGGGCTGCTCTTATCCCATGGTGAGTTTCAGCCCTTAATGCCCCGAATAATAAATCATATTTCTTAGCCATTTTAGCCAGGAGGGAGCTGGGGGATGAAAAAATCAATCCAATTGATTGGCCCTCACGTTCCCGTGCCCTAAACCCAATGTGGGACTTCACAGTCCTTCCCCCGAGACCCCCCCCGTCTTCTCATTAGGGGGATGGTGGTCGTTGTAAAGCATGCATACAAGCCATTTCCACTGAAGCCCTCCCCCTCAAACACTTACCAGGTAACTTCACCGAGGGGTCGGCGGTTAGGAGGGGGGGGGGGGGGGGGCATCGGCCAACCACTGACCTGAAGAGCACTTTGTGTGACAGCAGCTCCTCCGCCCGTCTACGGGCTGCAGATCACCTACAAACACTGAAGACAGTGAAGCTGATAATATGGGGATGTTCCTTATTTATACATCGTGTATATGAAAAAAATCCCACACACACGTGTAGAAAACACTGCTTTTTTAACTGAATTTTAGATCACGCTTACAGAAAATACATGAGAACAACTTGAAAAGCACAAATTGAAATCAATGACATATTGTAGTGTTTGTCTGCCAACATGTGGCCACGCCCCCTCGCCGGAAAAAAGAACAGACGAGACGACGTGTGAGACAGTATTCCACATTTTATTTTTGATATTACCATAGCTATATGCAACTTCTGACGACAGGTATCAACTACAGAATAATACACTTATTTCTGCCGGTTTCAACTTTTTTTTTCCTCCCTGCTGCTTTTTGGTCCAGTAACATTTGAACGCCCCCCCGTGTCACTGAATGTCAGACATTGAAACACATGCACGTCGTTCCCCTGGATACAGCGGAGTAGGACGACCTGACAGGATGAACAGGCGTAGGTTTTTCTTTACAGTAGTACTATCTATCAGAAGGCCGGGTCACATGACAGCTCCTCACCGCATTTACAAACATTTACATTTGGTTTTTAAAAAGAACAACTGGGACACGACCGACGAACGGAGACACAGAGATATCCTTTTTTTTCTGTTCAGTCCCACGTGGTTGTTTTGAGGCTGCACACGTCTGGAATTAAAAAAAACAAAAAGCAGAACCTAATAAAAAGGTTTCTGTACAGCTGCAGCACAGCGAGGAGTTTACTGCCGTCCCTCCATCGCCGGCTCCTTTAGAGAAGTCATGAGCTCGATTCTTTTGATTCTTTTCATTTGTCTCTCTCTCACACACACACACACACACACACACACACACACACTTTTCAAGCAGCAGATTGCGGCGAACAAAAATGTACACATTTTTAAAAAATAAACTTTACTTTTCGACATACTTTATATATACATAGTGCGCACGCTGCGCCCACGTGCACAGTAAGCTTTGGGGGACACGTGGGTGCAGGTGGGACTGAGACATGGGGGGACAGGAAGAGCTCGTGTTAGACATGTGGTCAGCAGTAGTTGATGCATGATGTCGCTACCAGGAGTGCACCACAACCCCCCCCCCCCCCCCACCGAGGAAAGAGCCCCGCCCACAAAGGAGCCATGGTTTGACGCTATTGAACGGATTGTCGAAGTGCGACGTGGATCTAAAAATTAAAAACTTGCTGAATGGATTCAGAATAAAACCGCAGTCCACGTTATAATCCGGCTATAAGGGGGGGGGGGGGGGGGGGGGGGGGGTCAGCTGCCTGCTACAGTAAAGCACTGAAAATGTTCCAATAGTTCATTTGAACCACAGTATAGTACGAGTACCACATGAGGGCTGTTAACAGGGGAAATATTTCAACAATACAAATGTCATCAAGTATGGTAGTAAAGTTGTAAATATAAATATGACAAATGGGTCATATTTGTGGAATTAAGTCAGAACCTTTCTAGAAAGTTGAAATATTCAGACTTTCTTCTCAAAAGGTGCAACTTAAAATATTACTTTTTTCATAAGAAATGTGAGTTTGACATTTTGACTATTCTTGGATTATTACAACGACCTGTTCCAAACTTTACAACCTTAACTCATAAACCCCCGGCGGTACTCGTAGCGTTGCGTTTTCCATCAAACCAAAGCGTCCTGAAGCCGCGGCTCCTCCCCACATCCACCTGTCGACAGGAAGCTGGAGGCGGGGCCGGGGGGCGTCGCTCGGCTCCGACGTGCTGAGGGACGGAGCCGCGTCAGATGACCTGGCAGCAGCTGGGCGGAGCCGAGCTGCAGAGCAGGCCGTCCCTGGAGCCCCCCCCCCGCCGGATGTTGACGGAGATGGTCTTCTCACACAGAGGTAGTTGAAGAACGCCGCTCTTAAGAGCGCTCAGGTGGCTGTGAGCGTCCCTGGCGTGCGGCGGCGCTTTGCGGTGGTGGTGGTGGGGGTGGTGGTGTGTGCGAGGCAGGGCGAACGGTGGTGGGGAGGGTGATGGTGTCCAGGCTCCCAGGGGAGCCGATGCACATCCGCCAGGCGGATTTCTCTTGGATTTTCACGCTGCCCGCTGGGGGGCCGCGAGGGTCTATGATGAACTTCCCCCCTCCGCCTCCTCGCCCCCCCCGGCCCCCGCGCTGATGCTGCAGCTGGGAGCTGAGGACCAGGCTCATCAGCTTCAGGCTTTCCACCAGCTCGGTGGCGCGGCTCGCCGCGCGGGACGAGCGCGGCAGGGAGCCGAGGGAGGGGGCGCTGGTGCTGCTGTTGTTACAACAGCTGGAGGGGCTGTCTTGCCCTTTGCCGCCCCCTCCTCCCCCGCCTCCTCCACCTCCTCCCCCATTATCATCCCCTCCCGGAGGACTCCCCCTGTCCGGAGCGGAGGCCCCGCCTCCCTCTCCAGGCGGCTTGCCCTGCCCGGCGCTGCTGCCTCCCCCATTGCCCCCCGAGCTGCCGGGCGGCCCCTCGCTGCTGTCCCTCCTGTTCCATCCGTAGCCGAAGCCCGAGTCCTTGTCCAGGCGCCGGCGGTGGCTCTCCGAGTCGTCGTCGCTCGTCTCCGAGCTCGAGCACGACGACCCCCGGCCTTGGCTCTTGCGGCGGTGGTAGCGCTTCTGCGTGGGCCCCGGCGACGTGGAGGCGGCCATGTTCATCTTGAGGCGGCTGAGTTTGGGCGGCAGGCCCACGTCCATGTCGAAGTCGTCGTCCGACTCCCCCTCCTCCTCGAAAATCTGGTTGAGCACGGGGGCGCTCTTCCTGGAGGTGAGGCGGTTGGTGATGGAGGCGGGCTTGCGCCTCAGGACCACCTGGGTCGGGAGGGGGGGCGGGTTCCGCTCTTCCTCCTCCTCATCCTCCATGACCCTGAGAATGGATGAGAGCAGACAATCGGTTCTCTGGTTCTGTGATATCTACTCGTCATAAACATGAATAACAACACCGCTGACTCCCACCTGAACAGGAAGGGGCGCTGCTTGGCTCCTCCAGAGGTGGATGGCGCGGGGGCCCGGCTGGGACCGGATCCGGACATGGGAGTGGGCCCCGAGGCAGCAGCACAGGCTCCCTGAAGGAAGCGTTTAAAAGTGAGAAAGGAAGCCGCTGGGTACAGGATGTACAAACAGTGAAAAAAAGAGGTGTGTGTGTGTGGGGGGGGGGGGAGGAGTACCTGAGCCGGCTGACCCGGGGAGTCGGTCACCATGGCCTCCTCACCGCGCCGCCCCAGCTCCGTCAGGCCTTTGGAGCGGTGTCCGTTGAGCAGGTTCTCGGCGCTGCGGGCCGGGGACTGGGGGCCGCCGGCGTGGGAGATGGAGGACGCTGCCAGGCTGTCCTCGATGTCCTGGTGCATGTCCACTCGGGTGGGCCACGACTGCCTGCAGCGTTATAACGGAGGGGGGTATTTCATCCATTTATTACTTATTATTAATAAGTTGTAGGTCACACAACTATAGACCATTGGGCCCAAACCAGCAGAGAAGAAGCCCGTTGATATGCAGCATGTAAACAGTCATAAAACCCACATTGTTCCTCTGGACTGATGAAACAGAGGCCAGCATTGTTTGCGGGTCACTAATTTGGGTATAAAGAAACGTCTCCACAGCGCCCACTAGGCCATTTCCCCCCCCGATGTCCCATTGACTTGAAATTTAGCACACAGGTGCTCTAAAAAAAACTCCTCTTGTAAACTCTGTGCAGATTGTCACAAAACATTGTGTGGATCTCATTGTTTGGAGAAGTTATGGAACAAGGGGCTTAATCAGGCAAGACACATAACTTCCAAATTACTTTGTCACCAAAATGGTAAAAAATTGCACACACCCTAATTTTTTATAATATTTGAACAATAGGGGGCGCTGCAGGTAATCGTGGAATATCTGCATTTTTACCCAATTCTTTGCTTATTTTATCCTTTTGTAAAGTTTGTAAAAGACCAAACTCATCCCAGAGATTAATGTCTATTCTCAAATTTGTGTGATCTTTAAAAATGGCATAAAGCTTGAAAAAAATATTAAACTACGTGAGCGCGGTGGATTCAAGGACCCGTCCGTCACTCCTTGCAGCTTCAACCATTCCTCCAAGAATATAATGGAGGAAACACGAAACCCTGGACGTCAAAAAGCGGCGGATTCTTCTCAGATTTGTTTCCCCACCACAGCTGTGCCTCTGAAGCCTCCTCACTTCCTTATTTGTTCCTGTTCCTTTTAGAACAGTGCACCGTCCTGGGGGAGGAACAATGCTTGGCAAGGAAGCAGAGTGGAGTACTTGGAGAGCTGAAGTCCGGACTGCGACGCATCCTCTTAGATTCTACATTCATGACTCCTCTGTGTAACGCTTTAGTGAATGAGGTGACCCCCCCCCCCCTCTGTGTGCTCCATGCAGGCGGAGCCGGACACAAACTCGTGGTGACAATGATTACTGAGGGAATAAATCCGAGCAGTGATGGAAAGCTCTGAGCACGAGGAAGGTCGCCCTCTGGCTCAAATACAAGCGCGCCGCTTCACCTGAACACGGCCTTGATGTTGCTGGGGCTGGAGGAGCGAGTCTGCACCTCCTTCTCCTGCTTCTCCCGCAGGATCCTCTCGGCCAGCAGGTAGTACGTGGCGGTGATATGGTTGTACTTGTTGGTCTCCAGGGCTCTGAAACAACACAATCACAACGATTACAAATGGAAAACATGAGGTGGGTGGAGGGATGAGCAGTCTAGCAAGGTGGTAACAATGATAATAATACAAACATCAGACGAGTGCTGGATGAGACCATTCATAAGAGTAACGAAACCAAATGATATTCTGTGTATTTCAGGGATTCAACTTTCAAATATCACATAACTAATGACTCCGCCGGCACAAAATACACCTGGCTTCTACATCCTAGCAGGCAGCTCAGCTTTTTTTTATTTGGACGGTGGATTGATGTTGTGTACAGCTGTGGTAGGGTATCTACATGTCAATCACAAGGTAGCCCCGCCCTAGAGCACACGCTGCTTTATGATATAATTCATTACATTACAGGTCATTTAGCGGACGCTTTTATCCAAAGCGACTTGCATTGCATTTCTAACGCATGGCTGCCCCAGGGAGCAGTCCGGGGTTTGGTGTCTCAGGGACACTCGGGGTTCTCTACTCCTGCGCCGCGTCGCCACATTCACTCTACATGGACCATCATTTAGAAAATGAATCATGCCGTATTGAAGAAGACTTTGAACTATAGCGATTGGGACGTTTATCTCATGTTTACAATGTTTACTGGGGGAATACATATAGGGGTCATTTTCTCAGACTTTACATTTAAATTCATTTTGCAACCGCAGTTGTCGCCCCCTGCTGGCCAGTAGAGAGAATGCAAGTTTAGGACACTTCCAAATCGGTTTCAGCACAGGCCTTGTTGTCGCCTTGTTCAGATGTCGATTCATCAGAAAATATTCTTGTGAAGCACTCCGAGGAGTAAAAAGAGGCATAGTTCTATTTCTACAGGAAGCCTCCCCTCTGCATATCAATGGCACTCCTGCCGCCAGCAGCCGTACACGCTGGAAGAGAGAGAACATTTATGGAACGTTACAGTTATTACCGCTGAGCGGTCGTAACACGTTATGGGTCCAATAAATCACTCAGCATATTTCTGTTGGTTCACACGTGGTGACCAGGTCATGATGACTGGTTTAGTACACCAACTGCTTTTGGTTTGTTATATTAATATATTATTATATGCGGACACTGCTCCAGTGTCAAATGTATAAAAGAAATACTGGACAAAATGTCGTAGATTGTAGAATAGTGGCCTTTAGATGCCATAACTGGAGAGAAGCTTCAAACACTTAACAGGGACTCACGCTGCTTCTTTAGAAGTAGACCGTTTTCTTAATGTTTGTGAAAAACACCTTTAAAAAAATAAATCTATCACCAATTAGCTGCTGATGTAGTTTGCCATGAGTGTAAACTCACACTTCCAAGTCCCCCGCTGACGAAAGCCCTCGAGCAGCACGTACATGTGAAACACTCGCAGAAAGGGAACTTTCAGAATTTCACCTTCCTTTTATGAAGAAATGTGGTTCCAGCTCTTCTTTCAATCGAGGGAGGGAGGGGGGGCACAGCTGTTTGAGTGGCAGGCCGGGGGCATTGTGCGTTAATACTGCCGCTCTGAAGCCGACAGTGAATGAGAACCTCTGAGAAGACTCTTCTACTCAGGAGGAGACAATGTAGCACCACCCCCTCACACTGACACAGAGTGATGCTCCGTGGGGGGGGGTGCGGTTTGAACACTCCCCGTTAGTGTGAAGACGGAAATACGTGTTAGTGGTAGAGTGAGGGGGGAGAGACGGGTGCAAATGGAGCACGTCGACTCGACAAACGGGTTCAGACGGGTCGGGGAAATTCTGAAAATACCGATTTTCTAAATGGGATATTGAACCATTTCAAAATAAGATGTGTCCCTTCTTCAAAGTGGACTGATTCGGGGGTAAAACCATCACATCTGATGCGAGGCTCCAAAGACAGAAGTCTCCATAAAATGAACACGCTGACGCTCCTCGGGGAAAGAAATGTGTTATTAGAGCCTTTAAGGGGAAACAGAAAACCATGAGGCCCGAAGTGTTTCATGATTATTCATGTGTTTTTACATTCCAAGCATCTGTACTTTCTATCTTCATACAAGTGTGAGCCTGCATGAACTGTCGAACCTTGCTAGTATCGGTATGTTGTGCAACACGCCATCAAAGTAATCGCAGGTGGCTGTAAGCGGGCTGCAGCTCTCACAGACTCATGTGTGTGAACTTCATTTACAGCTGGTGTCACCAGATGATTTGTGTTTGTTCAGGACGGAGCTGTTGATCGTGCTGCCGTGTGATTACACGCTGCTGACAGTGTCAGATTTTAAACAGATAAACAGCCTTTTAGAGCCCTCTGTGACCTACATGCCCCTCAGCTGGTGAGTCGCGTACACACGAGAGCTGAATCCAAGTAGAACTGCATATTTCTACTGGATAGCGTGTGTGATGTGCCCTGCTTGGTCTGCACACATCCACTACAGATAATAACCGGTCTCATCTGCATAGACCTCGCAGTTTACCACCTGCATTTCAACCAATTACTTCTGATTTAACATAAATTGCGTTTTGGTCTTAGAACCCGTGGATAATTATCCTCCATCACAAGCAAACATGCACCATGGCCTCCGCTCTACTCCTTCCTCGCAATCCAAAGTTTGGGTGATTTTAATGTCAAAATGAAAGAACCTTCATGAGCCGTTTTGACCGACTATGAAAACAGCTGCAGTTCCGTTTGAGGCCGTCACGCTTTAATACACCTGGCAAGGGGCCGAGGAGGGAGAGCAGCATTAACGGCCACACTGTGTGTGTGTGTGTGTGTCTTTGTGCAGCAGGCAGACACTCACTCCACTATGGCCTCTCGGTCGGCGATGTCCCCGAGCACCATGCGCTGGATGATGCTGTTGTGTTCCTCCTCCGACAGGTTCTTGTGTGACACCAGGGGGGTGTTGTACTTGGTGGCCGGGGACGGGTCGACCCCCTGCAGCCAGGCGTCGTTCTCAATCTCCTCCAGGGAGGCCCGTCGCTTGGGGTCCCTCTGAAGCATGCTGTCGATCAGACTAGAGCCGCGAGGAGACGGGAGGACGGGCACGAGGAGAGAAGAGGGAGAGAGGACACACTTAGAAATGCGGCTGGATTCGAGGGGACACAGAAATTCTGTCTAATCATTTCACAGCACGAGCGACGCCTTCGTCTTGAGGACCCCAGGAGCATGCTGGGAAGTACCCGTGTTTAACAACTGCTTCCCAGGTGCTTGAGGTGCCCCCCCTGCTCCGCTGGCTGAAGGATGTCACAGCGACTGACAGCTGACTGCGGGGCCCCTCTGGCACCTTAACAGAGCGCAACTCTTCCTGCAGTCCCTCTGATCGGAATTTTTTTTCCAGAGGATTGGTTGTGCGGGTAAAAGGAAGCAAAACTCCCACTTGTCAACATGATATGAATGAGACTCCTGAAACTGACAGTTTCACTGCCTTTGCAGTTGCGGAAACAAGTGTCTGCTGGAGACCGTGTCAAACTTAACCCGAGCATCCTAAATGCGACCCGGTCCATTAAAACACTGCTGCAAGGTTCGTATCTGTCAGGGAGTGAAGTACTGAGAAGGTCTACAGGTGTTTCAGAGCGATGCTTCTGGTACTTCTGGTTCTCTCTGAGCTATCAAGACATTTTGGTAGATGATTATGATTAACTGTAAATAAATATGTGCAAACACTTCGATTGGCACAATTAATACTTAAATGTAGATTTTCTGATTTTAGACAGGCTTTCAGACCGGTAAATGGCAGCGTTTGTGACACAGTACCGAGAGCACACGCAGTAGTGACACCCGAGCACCGCGGAGCGACCAGGTCCTCCTCTGGCGAGCAGCGGCCCGACCACGCACGAGAAAGGAGCACAGTTTCCGCTTTAATTCACTTCAAGCCATTTAACGAGACTCGTGGCCCCCGTTTCAGCTGGACCGGGACTTGTTGGAGTGCGACCCGGCCAGTCGGTGTGGATACAGAGCAGATGGAGACAGACTGGGGGGGACAGAGCTGAGGATGTGGAACTACAGCTGGTCAGCTGGCAGCTTAAAATCCACACATGACACAGTTGAAAGCTTAGATTGCAATTTAATAGGATTAGATGGGATATGGAGTCTAGTGGGAAGACTAATATTAATATTAATGGGGGGGGGCATCATCCAGAGGTAAGCCATCTTTGTCATCTGCATAACAAGACAGCTAGATGACGTACAGACGGGGGGGGGGGGGGGGTAATAAGATTGAAATGGAAAAGATTTCATGAGAGGATTTAACATGCACAAATCTGCCCGTTAACTGGTACCGCAGGTTGACCCGAACCCCACAGTACGACACGCGGCTGGTTGTGGACCCAAACCCACCGACAGACGATAGCGGAGGAGCCCGTCTCTCATTTTGGGATTCACTGAATCCATTTTCTCTTGTTGCCAACTGCGTCCGATCCTCGGGTGTGTTTCGCGCCGTGCTGGCAGAGGACCACGGGATGGAGGATAAGAGGCGGGGCCGAGCAGCGCTCAGCGGGCTGTCAGTCATGCTGCGGATTAGTCAGAGCGGGTCGGGCTCCCTGAGGAGGAGGGGGGGGGGGGGCAGTATCTGCAGTCGGCCCTGATGGCGGCCGTCCCTGCAGTGCTACCGAGTTGTTTGGACAAACTCTGACTGACATGGCATGTATGCGTTCGTATGGAAGTGATGCTGGTGGTCTGTAGCTTATTGTTTAAGCGCTGCTACAGAGCGGTTTGCACTAAACAGGCGCCAAACTAACTATTATTTCAAAAGAAGGCCAACTTGCTCACTTCCTGTTTCAAAATGAAATCAACAAGCAAGAGGACTTGTTTACTTAAAAGACTCGCAACGTTGAGTCGGGTATGTTTTGTTGACCATTTATCGATATCTGTAGATATGTAGATATGTATATGAGTCAAGTCAGTCATGTTCTGTCCTTCGCAGGTGGTCTTCCATTGCCCCCCAGGGTTTTTATGAAAAGTACCATCTTGATTAACACAAGTGCGACACACATCTCAGCCTCTCTGAGCGACGCCACAGAAGCTGGAGACACAAAGGGAAAGTGTCGCCACACGCCGCGACGCACCGCGTCTTACAAGCAACAGGCCGCCCGCTGGTGTCGCCGCGCGCACGCTGCTTCACAGCCACGCAGGCAAACTTGGCACCAAAACAGGCTGGGTGGTGGAACAACGGGTTTGGGCTGGCAATGGAGCGACTGAATCTCTGATGTGTGCGAGACTAAATACGGAGGAGGGGGCCGAGTGCTTGTGTGCCGTCCCGTGTGGTTTGTAGGGGGACGACAGGAAGCGACGGAACACCGTGTTCTGTTTTGGAAACAAGAGCACAAATAGTTTGGAATTGTGGTGGGGGGGCGGCGAGGGGGGGGGGGGTGCACAACAAACATTGTTTTTATAGAGTCTAATCCCCAGAGATTCAAATCAAGGATGACAAAAAAGCAAGGAGGATAGCGTGGCATCGCGTGTGCGAGCGGGGGAAGAATGAGTGAATTGAGGCGCGTCCCCCCGGGACGAGAGTAGAGAGACATCCGCTCACGTAGAGCCGAGGCACAATCACAAACACTCGGGTAGAGAAAAGCGGCAGCCAGGACACAGAAACGTGGCCCTGACGAGAATTTATCCAGAGTGTGAGTGCTTCAAAACAAAATGACCAGCGAGGACAAACTGTGACCTTTAGGTGGAAAACCGAGACCGTTTGAAAGCCTTTACTTCTCTTAAGATACACAATCCGTGTTGTCTCTGCAGTGCCGGCCCCCCCGGTGTCGTTCGTCGAGTCCCCCTTCGGTAACTGAAACCAGGCCGTGCTCGCCTTATTTCCACATCATGGAGAGCCAGGTGAAGCCACGTAAATGTAGCGCCGCAGCATCAAACTCCCCCAGACCTGTGACACGTGTAGATTACCTACCCCCCCCCCCCCCCCCCCCCCCCGGGAGGAACGCTGCCGACACAGCAGGCGACAAATAGCCCATCAGATTGATCACAGCTGCTTCAGCTTAGCACTTCAACTCAGTGGCGTCTCTATCGGACCCGCCGGAAATGAGCCTTTATTTCCTGTGTCTAAAAATACTCAGACAATGTGGGAGACGGAACCGGCCCTGATACGGACTCTGATGCCGCTGCCTGTGACTACTGCTCATTTCCCCACGGCCTCGATCTCCCAAAGCGAACACTAGCTTCTCCTGCCTTTTTAAAACATCTGTCTGATCGGATCCACATTCATAAACACGATATGTGCAACCGTTTTCTTTTTCTTTTTTTTTTGTCTGAGCTACTAAATGTAATGCGAAGATACCAAGTAAGGTATAAATGAGGTAAAGTGCGGACACACAAGGGTCCGCTTTTTGAGTGTGGCACCAGAATACTTTGATTCATTCTGGCCACATGTTGGAAGCCGCAGCGCTTCAACACCTGCATTATGAATTAGGGATTTACCACCTCACATGGCAGATTACGATGCCACTGATTTATCTGCCCCATCGCTCCCTCTGGCCGCTGGCCTGGTGTTTTTACTGTGTGCAGCTGCACTGTGCTGCTCTGCAGCTGGCCTGCTCCAACTGCTCAGCTACTGGAACAAACTGGGTCGAGCTCCACAGGTGGGAAGATCACTTTAAATGCTGCAGTGATCGGAGGGTTATGACAGCAAACAATGACATGAGAGGGTGGAGCTACTGTGAATGGAATCAGGAATTTCTTGGGAGAACAAAGGAGTGAAAGACAAAAATCCAGAACATCTCACCAGACAACTCCAACCTGTCAATCACAGCCAAGGGACATCATTTACTAAATCAATTGCTAAATCACGCTCTATTAAGAAGACTTGAACCTAGAGATTAAGACCACAAAGTCACATTTACAATGTTTGCTAAGGAGAGAGGGGGGGGGGGGTATGGCTGCAGATTCATATCACGGTATTTTGGCCGGTGAGTTAGCTTGGTAGCGTGTTGGCATGTTGATGCTGCGACACGCGTGAGACAAGTAGCTACGGCCGCCGCGGCCTCGGCGATGAGCGGCCGAAGAGCGACAGCAGTGGTTGTGGGATGCGCCGGTATGAAGCAGTGTGAAAAATACGGAAATTTGAAACCGGCGTATCAACTCAGATCTGGTATCTTATCACACGCGGCGCTGTGTGAATGCTGTGTGCGTGTGCGTGTCACTCACTCTTTGCAGGCGCTGGAGACGTGGGCCGGCACGGTGTATTTACAGTCCATGATCATGGTGAGAGTCTCGCTGTCGTTTGCTTCCTGGAAGGGCGGCTGGCCACACACCAACATGAACAGGATCACGCCGAGGCTCCAGATGTCTGAGGCACAGGGAACCGAAAGGCAGTCTGAGTACAGGTGTGCTGACGGACCGGTTCATCGTTGCAGCGTTTTGAATCAAACAACGTACACACATGACAAACATTTGTGGAATACCAGGTTCTTCCTTCGGGATTTGAAACCCTGTCAACATTATAGGGATTATCAGTCTATTCATTCTATTAAGAATATAAGTCTATTAATACGCTGCTAGGAATATTTCATATCAGACACATTAGGACTTATGGTACTCTTGTAATGACCGGATGTTGCAGTTCTGTCTAACATACCTGTGAAATCTATAAAAAAAAAAGAACATTTTAATAATCTCGAAGTAAACAAGTGAAAAAGTTGATTCAGATGAAACATCTGCGTTCCCAAAGTGTAAATGTGGGTTTGTTGTGAGTGATCATGGATTATCTAAACCGTGTAGGCAAACGCAAAAGGTCGTAGGATCAGGCTTTGCTTGAATGCAGATCTGGGCGGAGCTTAAATGAGGCATAAAACCGTTCCCTCCAGGTGTTACCGACAAATTGCTATTATTCAGGGCGATTGGTAAGACGCTGCACTGCGACCGGCCCCTGTGAATGGTGTGAACGCTAGTTCCTCATGAGCAGGTGTGTGGTGGCTCCAGTCATCAGTGTGTGAATGACAACGTGTGGCGTTGAACCCATTTAGTCCGACCGACCCCCGGTTCAGACTTTGTGGGTGTGTGGATCAGTGTGCGCGCTTATTATTCGGGCTGTGAATTATGTCATCTGTTCAAGCGTAAAACCCAGAGGCAAAGACTGCTGCTACAGACGCGCTCTCCTCTCCTCCTGCGCTCAGAGAGGGCGACTGCGATGGAAAAGACGGGAGACCATCGGTTCTTCCCCGTCCGCTTTCTCCAGTGGCATTTTAAACTAATTCCGTCCGCTCACAGCTGGAACGGAGAAGCTGTCGCGTTCACATTTGATCGGAAGTCAGCGCTCTCTCTGTCACGCTAACACGGGCGGGTGCGCCAACAGTGTGACGAATGTCAAGTCAATTTTCCTGTGCAAATGTGAGCCTAATTCAAGTGTGCGTATACGCAGGGCCAGTTGCATCCTGAGAAAACAGACTGTCAACATGCAGACATACACGCGCACACACACCTTGTTACAACAGTGTGAACCAACCTAAGCGCGGCCTCCGGCATGTAGCCATGACAGCAAACGCCTCCCTGTCACTACTTACAGAATGTAGTGCCAGCGGACACAGAGGCAAGTACTACTTCTAAACAAACCAAAGTACTTATATACCCAGACAACCACGTGCCAACATCCGTGGACGCGTGTTCAGCGGTGATCTACAGCCTCTGGCTGAAGAAAAACAAACTCATTGGCTCCAGTCAAATACTGGCAGCTCTGATGTAATCACTATGAGGAGGATTCTGCGTTCCAATTAAGCTCAATTGCACGAATACCCTCAACAATCAATGTGGTTGGGTGATGAAGCACGAACCCCCCCCTCAAAAAAGCGACTAAACGTTTAATTGCAGAGAGTGAATTGCTTTCCGCCAGTCTTGGCGGATCTCAAAATGTGATTCCAATAAGTGAGAGTGGAGTGCAGTGAGCTAGACTAAAGCGCGTGCTTACAGAGGAGCATTAGTTTCTAACAAAAAGCCTCGCTGTATTGACCCAAATGGGCTTGGTTTGTATTTCACACCTGTGCTCCACCATCACGGTCGACCACTCCATGGCGCTTTGTCTCAGCCAACATCTCCCCGGGAGGGGAGATGTCCCTGAGGCGTGTTTTCCCATGTACCCGTGTCCTCGCGGCGGTATAAGCACCAGATGCAGCGCGCACCAGGAAGCGGTCCGGCTTGTCTTGTGAGAGCAGAGTCTCCGTGAGCAAGATGGTGTGTGTTCACAGAGTTCCTCTTCTCTGCTTGACTCAGTTGGCATTTTGTTTCTGAGCGTGGGGAAAATGGTAAAAAAGGGCATTGGGCCCAGCGGCTCGCTGTCTAAATACATCAATTTGCCCTTTGGATATTTTGTCTAAATACATCAATTTGCCCTTTGGATATTTTGTCTAAATACATCAGTTTAAATAAAGCTCAAGCTAATGGACCCAAAGTTGATGGAACAACCGGTGCAATATGTTTGGACCCCTACCAACTGTCCTCCAACCTGCGCTGACGCCGGCCTGCCTGTTGTCATAGAGACCGTGGAGGCAGCTCCTGCGAGCAGCAACGGACCGTCCAAGCTACGCTGTAGTGCATATCACACTGCAGCTGACTGCACGTCCTGAGGAGATATCAAATTTGCATTTCGCAGAACTTCCTGGGACTCCTTTGTCAGGGGAGAATTTGTTGAGGTGCATCCTTCACACCCGAAGGCAAGAACACCGAAATAAAGTGGATATGTGAAAGTACAAACCGCTACACGGGAAACATATCTGACTTCAAACCAGATTCAGCCGGAAGCCACAAAGATACTGAGAGGTGGAGACCCACAGCGTCCGTCCCTCGCCTGCCCTCCAGTCACCAGTTGTGTCTCGCTGAGGGGGACAGCGGTGGCCGCTACGCCGAACATCCGCACAAGCCGCCTAGTGGACGGGTCAGCCGCTGGTCCATCTGGGGCCTGACTCAGGACAAACTGGCACATGAAAATCACTTGACTTTCTGGCCGGGCAGCTGGGTACCGAGCGGCCCTCCACTGACCCGTCGCATCACAATAATATATCATCGTTTACTAGTGGTCAGGTCACGGTTGACAATGTTCACTGAGGGAATAAATCCAGAGAGAAGTAGTCATCTTTTCATACTTCTATACAAACAGAGGAGTCACCTCTGGTCAGTTTAGAGAAAGCCGGTCGGAGACACTTGAATTGGCTGATAAAGCTACAAAGAAACCAACGTAGCCAGAAAACATAATACAGTATGTATCCACAACAACAATCCGCAGAGACGTTAATCAAGCTACAGATGCAATGATCATTTCTCCCAGCAGGCCAAGCAATCTGTTTGTGTTGTGCGACCGTCAGATAAACATCAAGAACTCTTTGATCACTCAGAACATCCCGACTCTGTCCCGTTGCCCTCACAGCGTCAGTCTAACGCTCAGTCTAATTAAGTGTAAATGCCATGAATTTTTTGTTTTGAATGAATACTCTCATCTGCCTGTCGTGAACATCTGTTTTGCTCCTGATGTTCGTGGCTGTCTGGCTCTGAGGGCAGCAGGAAAGAAATCCATAGCTAAAAAGCTCCCAGAAGGACTACAGCAACGTGCTGCAGCATTAGCACCTCACTGCCCACCCGTTGTGTGGAGCATCCTTCATATATTTGTGCGCGGGGACGTGTCATGGAGCATTGTCAAGCTACCGATATAAAAGTGAAACTTTTAAAATTACGTTGTGGTCTATTTTACGCTAATAAGTCAAATTTAAATAAATATAGAGCCGATGTTTTGCTGCCTTGCTCTCTCAACAATGCCGATGCAGATGAAGGGAGCTGATTGTATTGTATTCCCACACAGACTTCAGCACGTGGATGATGGGTTGGACCGTAGGTGGAGCGCCCCGAGGTGGCACCGGCCTTTAATCGTGCTCAACTTTAAAGCCTTAATACAATTAAACAAGTGATCAGGAATTCCTCTCCACGGTCAGCCGTGAAATGGGAAATGATTAGACGTCTCTTTGGGTCAGGTTGTCAACATGTTAATTTCTTCTGTCAAGGTGGAGCCTCAGCCGTAGTTTACCGGCTTATTTATAATTACATGAAGAAATGCAAATGCAAATGATCATTGGGATGTGGGTTTTAAAACCCACATCCCAATGATCATTTGCACTTTCTGCATCACTGTGCATCAGAATTGAATCCACTAAGGTATCGTCATGGTTACTTAGCGACAGGGTCACAAAGTAAGTTACTAAAATAACTATTTACAGCCATCTTCTATGTAGGAGTGGATTGAAATGTTCCAGTGAGTTGGGAGAGCAGCAGAATTAAACTAACCACTGGCTTTAACGTTATTACTTATTAACACACACACACACACACACACACACACACACACACACACACACACACACACACACACACACACACACTCTAGTGGCAGGTGGATGAGAGCGCAGAGAGCCCTCAGGGTGACAGCTGTCAGATGTCACAGACAGACATGCAGCGCTCCATGTGCAGGAGACTGCAGGTCTACTGTGGCATTATGGGAGCGCTGCACACGGTCACCATCAATGAGTCCGTATCATCCAGTCCTCATCAGTGGTGGGTGTGTGTGTGTGTGTGTGTGTGTCGGTGCAGCCGAGATCCGTTTCATTATCAATTAATCGGCTGACAGTTTCTTTCCTAATTGCTCGCTCGGCCCAATTGTTGTTGCGGTGACGGCTAAATCCCATTTGGCATTCTGAGATTGCTTGTTTTGTCTGAGAAGCAGCAGAGGAAACCGTCGAGCTAAACACGGTTACAAAAATACAAAATGTATTACGCTGTCGGTTTCACTTTAGGCTGCCCAAAATGTTGCCCGTCCTCAATTGGTGATGGCAGCAAGTCCCTGGAACGAATAACCCAAGAAGACAAAGAGCAGTCGGGTCCTCGAAGGAGACCAAACCAGCATCGGCTGGTTCCCCCCCGAGGCGTCTCCATGTGCTAACTGCGCTGCAGCCCGTGTAAACATGAATGCTGCGAGCGTGCGTCTGTCGGCGCGTGACCGTCACCGTGAATTCTGAGGGCACAAAATCCCCGCTTTAAAATCACAATTTCAAAGAACAGCACGGCCCATTTCTCAGCCTCCATTCAGCACTTCTTTCTCACTCCATGACTCACTTTTTCTGCATTCAATGCTCTGATTTTGCTGCTTCTTGTGATGATCTAAAGTGATCGGTGGAACAGGGTCCAAAAGTGATCGTGAGGACATCTCAGAGACTGCTGAGGACACCAGGAGACAGCGGTTGGCTCCTAAAACAGAGAGCTGGTGCAGCCCGGGCCAACTTAAAACAGAGTTCTGTTACAATATTATGAAGGCAG